ACCATTCCTGGGGTCCAATTTCAAGAATAGGGATAGGATCTGACTCAAGATTTTGCGAGTTCGACGTCAGCGTGCTTTCTGTTGACAAAGAAAGGTGGTGGAGCTTGCGGTGCAGGGGGTCAGTTGAGCTGCTGCCGTCGTACTTGCAACTCTTGCCAAGGGTCTAGCATGTTGTAGTAATGTTCTCCCAAAACAAAACTGCCTTTACAGCGCTCAAGGAGGCACTCGACATACAACTTGCAACAAGCGTGCTGGAGCCAGGGTGGTTGAGCGCGTGCTTGGCATCCCCAACAGCATATACCAACCATTTATTTCCGCCTTGGCGAGCTTTGCGGATTAAGCTGAAATACTTTTTTTGCGTTTTCGCGAATCAGCGAAAAACACATTCACGACGCCTTTTAGCTTTATAATTTTTGGTATGTCAGAAAGTCTTCCTCACCCTTTTTGTAATTGCTGTTATATCCCAGACAATAGAACATATCCTGTCGACTGGTATCACAGAGAACTGATTTGTCAAAAATATCGAGCTACTCGGGAGGAGTCTTCTTACTGTGGGGCACACCATTGGCAAGTTTTCTGTCATTGCTGTTGCTGTTGCTGTTGTCGTTGTCGTTGTCGTTGTCATAGATATTGCCATTGCCAGCATCACCAGAACCTTTCTTAGACCATGCAATCCTCTCAGCCTTGATACTCTTCCTCTGTATGTTTGCGGGTGAGTCTAGTAATATGGTAATTGCAACGCCATCAGTACAAATGATCCCACAAACCTGTGCGGTTGTTTGTCATTTTGAGAATCGAGCAAAACCGGCCAAAATAAAGTATCACAAAAGAGGGACCGAATTTCTTCTGGTGACTTGCCTTCAAGGCCCTCAGACGCGGAATCTCAGGAATCTCAATATCCAGGCAAAGGCTATCCTTGTGCAGCGCTCTGAGTCGGCTCTTTATGACGGACAGAATAAACTTTGCAAGAATGGTCTTGTCGATTGTAGTAAACCCCGATACAATAGACGTCCTCATCGGAAAGAGGGAAATTGTCTTCACAATCATGTTGAAATTTAAAGACTAGAACATCTCAACAAAAGCCCCAAAATGGTTTACTGGCTCGGCTACAGAATTATAATTTAGTTCCTTGTCGCCAAAACTGTAGCCCTCAGGGTATGCGCCAAAGAAGCTCTCAATTGGGCGCGCCATCCTGTCGCGGAGAATAGGGTTGGAAATGTGCTTAGTGTCAATCAGCTTGCTGGCTCTGCTGATCGTAGTAGATAGTATATCTCTCTTCATCTTTCCCGCCAGAATTCTGATCTCCTTACTAATGCATTGTTATATTTGTTTTTTGGTATGACCGTCCTCCTTTATAAATGTCTTGTATCGCCGTTCAGTTCCTTTCTTTATGTCAAATGTTATGTCGACCATATGCTTCAACTGCTTGTTAAAGCACTGAGACACATGATATTTATATGGTGCAAGGGTTGTTGTACCCTCGTAATTAGCAACATAGGCCGCGCCAATGAGATGTGGGCACTCAAACTTGATATCCTTGGCGAACGTGTGCCTGTGCTTGTTAACGAGTTTGCCGTTTGCATTTTCAGGTTGTTGCTTCATGGTTTGTTTTATCTCCAAGGCAAAGGGCGATGAAACTCTTCTTAAAACATTGGTTTAAATAGTCGACAATATTAAACCCCTCATTATCTAACTCTTGTAAAAATACATACTGTGCAAGCTCATATATGGCTGTTGTAATATGGTGGACGGTGACGACATGCTCGCGCAGAACTGGTAGAAAGTAGGGACAGTGCATTTTGCAGAGGCCGAGGAGGGCCTCCACACCAATGGGGATAAAAATAAAAAATAAAAAGTTGAATACGTTGATTTGAAAATAGCGTAAAAATGTAAAATGTAAAATATAAAACTGCTAATAATATGTAACTACACGTAATGCTACTGAATGCTTATATATATTTGTATTTAATTTGTAAATTAAATTATTATGTAGATATTTTATTTCTAAACGCATTTTTTAATAATATTTTTAAAAACCAACTTGACTTTTTGCCTTTGTTTTGTTAACAAAAAGTAAAACTAGATAGATTTGCTATTTATAATATAATAATATACATACAGTCAGAATTAATTTTTTTGCACATCTTTCACTTAAAACCAAGCTTTTTAAGTCACAAATAAACATTTCGTGTAAATGCATCTAGGCGTACTTTGTAAAATTTAAGCTTTATAAAAGTGTTAAAAAAACCTGGGTTACAAAAAAAAGTTTTTTTGCACAGCTTCCACACCCTTTCCAAATGTATAACGTCACAAAGGCAAAGCAAAAAGCTGCGTATAGAAAAGGTAGCCCTTTCCGCTCTAGTGCCAAGATATAATAATGGTAAATATAAATATGCTCTGTTTATTTATTTACATATCAGATAAAAATAAAATGGTTTGCCAATTACTGATACCTTAACAGCATTCATGTATATCCTTTACAACGTCAACCAAGTGGTCTTAATTGCATGTGCAGTTGGCTAAGTGACAGATGATGGCCTGCAATGAACTGCTCGCTCATGGTACTGCCGAGGAGTGGCAAGTAGCATTAACTAAAATTGGTGTAGCCCTGCTTCTTTTACAGTTTGTGCACAAACACCATTGCTGCTGTTTTTGTTTCTGATATTGTCGCTGTTGTGACAATAGCCGGCAACAGCAGTTGGTGGTGCTGGCGGGTGCGGTGGTAAAGTGGATGTGGGAAGGGGCTGTGCGCGGCAGGAAATTTTATTTCATTTAATAAGTTATTTTAAAATACAACAAAAATATTAGAAAACAGCAGCAGTACTGAATTTTTTATTAAACTATAAAATTGGTTCTAGGAAAAGAGAAGGATTCTATTCCGGGAGAACAAGATGGTGGTTTAAATTCCCTGCTTAAAAATTCTGACTTTTGCTATAAATCTAGGAATTCCAAAATCCATTTACACCAGTATAATACATATATCTGCTTAGAACCTACACTACCACACAAAGGCAGCTAGAACTCTGTAATCACGTATACACACGGGTAGATAATGACTAAGTGCAGTCTTGCTTAATGGGGCTGCAAGTGGCAGGAAAGTTTTTTGTTTGTTTTTTGTTTGCAAAAAAATGCAAACACAAAGCAGACAACAGGAAAGCAGCAAGTACCCTACTGGATATATATTGACCGGCCAAATGCCATGCGCATTGTCATACTTTGCAATTAGACATGCTCAGCTACTACCTCCACTCTATTTAAACTTTACATCTAACTGCGAATGCCTACGGAATTTGTCCGCTGTACTGTTTTTTATGTGAGCGCAACATATGCAATTCGATTATTTGGGCCGAGATTTTAGAAGCCGAGACGATTGACCAGAAATACAAACAAAACATTATCTATCGCCTTTTAATTTATTTTTAAATATTCAAATCAATTTATTCCACTCGCATTCATATTACACGTGAGCATTTTAACATATGCATGGCGTATGTAGAATAAAGAGTAATGGAAGCAAGGAGTTGAAAAAATAAAATTCAAGTTTGATGCGTAAAGCGAAAAGCTTAAAATCCGCAAGTCAAAACCCCCGACAAAGGAGCATCCACCGTTAAATTTTATTAAATAATGCAAACCAAACATCACCATGCACACAAACTGCTTTAATTAATCTATGTGGCAATTGTCAAGAATAAAGATATGTATGCAGAGAGCACGCTGCATACACTCGCTCATTCATTTATTAATTATTCGTATTGCATCTTCCTTAAATTAATAATAAATACATTAAACTGAAAAATGAAATAATGAAATTGAGCAGTGAACAATGAACAGTGAAATTTAACAATAAACAATAAATACACTGACATAGATGCAAATATGTACACACCTACATCACATAAAATTACTCGTTTTTCTTCAACGCATTGCAACTTGGCTGTGTGTGCAATTTTCATATTTTACTTGTGTTTATGTCTGTTATTTAATGCACATCAGGAGACAATGCCTATTAAGCATCATCTCGTGCTTTTCACTACATCAGCTGTCTTGTCTTGTCTTGTCTTCTCATTGCAACCCAGTTTGAAATTCCAAATTGCAGCATGCGTACCAAAGCCTCAAACTTAGCAGGGCAAACGGCTTGTTTTATTTGGGCAGTGCAAATATACAAAGTGTATTCATTCGCCTAATCGGGTCACACCAAGCGGAAAGTAAAACATCAATTTTATAGTTTGAAAATAATTTGTTTAATTTTGGCGCACTGTGTGTACTGTTATTACAATTACAATTTTAATTCCAAGAGCTAAAAAGTGTGGAAAACGCAATATCTTACAAACCTCATATCTACTGCATAGATGCACTGCGACCAATCATTTTCTGTCGTCAGCACCAGCTCATTTTCTGGTGTTCTTGTACATATGCACACGCATGGATGCAGAACCGGCATTTATTAAAATTTTGCTTATTGGCATTTGTCATTTGTTATTGTTCTGTATTGAAAAGTACAACACGACCAATAATAATTTCAATTGAAAACTTAAAAAAGGGCTATCTTTATTGCTTATTTTGTCAGTGTCTGCCTGCCTGGCTGCTTGTCTGCACGGCAGAACACAGCAAAGCACACCGCAGAGCTTGTGTGCATGCGTACGTGCGGCCAGCCAGTATATAGCATTTCACGTGATCCAAATTTATCTGACATTCCATTGGCTGCCAGGCCATAGAGACCTGTTTGCGCGCGTTTTGCTCGCCGCACGCGTCAAGCAAAATAAGAGCAAAATGTGCGAGGACGCGTTCAGTCCCAAAAATGCATCCTACTTGAAGCTGGGCCCGACTGCGGGTTGACTCTGGAATTTCTCTTCACCTCCACTTTTCAAAACCTACTTTTTGGCGAATTGCGAAGCACAAGCTAGAATCACTCTTTTCTTTTGCTCATTATTTATTTGTCTTTGAGCCCACTCGATTCTGGATTCACACTTGAGCTCAGTCCTGTCAAGCCTCTTCGAGTTAAAAGTGCCCTGCAGGAGCGCAAATTGAAGTACCAAAGCTAATATTACCACACACTAAAAGCGCATCGGAAGCGTACCAGCAGAGCTTTGTCTCATTTTTTACTTGCACATACACGGCCCGCGAACTGCACCTTGTTGCTATTGGACGCAGCGTTTGATAATCCATGTTTTACGCTGAGGCCATACTTTCTAAGAAGGGGCCGTTGGCCAAAGTGTGGCTAGCCTCCCACCTGGAGCGCAAGCTCACAAAGGCACAGCTGCTGCAGGCCAGTATTCCAAGCTCGGTTGGCGCAATCATAGGTCAGGACCAAGGTCCACCCCTGGCGCTGCGGCTGTCAGGGCAGTTGTTGTTGGGCGTGGCGCGCATATACGCGCGCAAGGCGCGGTACCTGTTGGAGGACTGCAACGAGGCCCTGATCCGGATCAAAATGGCATTCAGGCCCGGTGCCGCCGACATTACATCCGACGCGATGGTGGCCACACACAACGCAATTACGCTTCCCGAGGCGCTGACCGAATTTGACGTGCTGCTCCCGTCCTCGACGCGTATGCTCGGCACAGACGGAATTGGCGCGGGCGCATCAGCCCTGAACACATCGCGCATCCAGGACATCACGCTGGCCGAGCAGTCGTTTGACATATCGATGGTCGCGCGCGGGATCGGCTCGGCGAACGACCTGGATCTTGGCGAGGAGGACCTTTTGGGTCGTGACGACGACTTCAGGCTTGACCTGGACGACGACTTTGTTTTCTCGCCGCCTGGGCAGCAGCCTGCCACGCCAGGCGCCCGGCTCAACACTAGCGCGTTTGAGCCCGAGCTTGGCCGCGATGCCATGCTGGGTCTTGACGAGAGCACGTTTGGCATGCAGTCGGACCTTCTCTCGCCACTCAGAAGCAAAATTGGCGGTCAAGGCCAACTGAGCGAGCCGATGGACATCACAAGAGAGGATTTGGGCGCTGGAATAAGAGATGGCGAGGAGTGGCACTTTGGGGGCGACAACGACGCCTTGGAAATGGCCAGTGGACTTGGTGATGTCTCAATGGTCCCTAGCACGCAGGAGGCTGCTCTGCAAGCGGCCGAGGCCGAGGTCCTTGTAGCCGGCGCGCATCCAGAGCGTCTCAGCAAGAGGCGTCGCCTGAACTTGTCCGACCTGGTTGCCAATGAGGCCACCTCACTTTCCCCCGACGAGATTCGAGGCCGCTTGCACGACTGCTCAGACATTGTCCGCGTGCCAACCTATTTACCGCCGACCAAGGCCGCAGGCTGGAGGACATGAGCTCGCTATCCGTTGCAATGCGGTTTTTGGACACTGCTGGTAGTGGCAGTGACAATGCGCCATTTGCGGCGTTGTTTGCGCCGCCGAGTGGGCATAGCTTCGATGCGGATGCCAATGCTGCACTGCGCCTCGATGAGATGGATGCTAGTATATTAGCGCTGCCGACAACGCTGACAGTATTTACATGGACGCCGAGAGTCTCTTGTTCCCGAGTACGCGAGCGACGATGACGGATTCAGGTTGGAATATGGCAGTGATGGCAGAGACAATGACCGAGACAGCGACAAGGAGGTCACATTCGGCACTAGCGCCAATATGGCCGCGCAGCAGCCGTATACTGAGCAGCTGCTGGCCAACAATTCGTTTGAACAGCTGAAGAGGATGGAAGAAGAGAGCTTCCAGCGCGAGGCTGAAGCGCAGCGAGGCAGCAGCGTTGGCATCAGCCTATTTGATGCGCCTCCAGTCGGCAGTGAGACGGGCAAGACTGGAGAGACCAGCGAGATCAGCGACGCCAGGAACAGTAAGAGCACCATTTGCGCGATCCACATTCTGGACACGGCCTGTAGGGCGGAGGGCATTGTGACTTCTGACGCCGCCGCACCCGCAGCTGCACTCTCATACATGGGTGTCACCAAGGGCGTGCGGCGCAAAGACGCCGTCAAGTGTTCTTCGAGCTGCTAGTGCTTAAAACAAACGACTTTATCGATGTTGCGCAGCCGCGCCATTTGAAGACATTATGATTGCACCCCGCGCCAAGCTCCAGCGCGCGGCTGATGCCATCAACACCAGCGGCGGCTTGTTGCCAGCCATATTGCACTTTAAGTTCCGAGCCTGCCAAAATCAAGCAACAATCTCAGATCTGCTCAGAATCAACGGCTCATTTTTCCTTTCGCCTCTTCGGATCATTTTTTATTGCAGTGGTTATTCAAGCCTTGTTACAAATTTGTGTTTGTTCCATGTTTTTTCACATCCTGTTTTCTTTTTCTTTTATCTAATTTTCCATGTTCATTTTTTTTTACCTGCCACTCATTGCACGCAAATCCAACGAGTGAAACATTTTATCTTTTCTTACAGCATATTTCTTGTTTACAGCCAGCCCTCGCCTTTACACAGTGCATAATGCAGAGGCATTGCATTTCAAAGTTCGTCTTGCAGGTGGCGAGACTTGGATTCCAGAATCAGCAGCAGCACGCGCTTTTCACAACCGCGCCAGTGGCATGTTCAATGGCTGGAAAGTCGGTTTTGCACCGGATCAGCCCAAAGCAGCCAAAGGACAAGTCGTGGCTGGAGCAGAAGCTTCATGAGGAGAACAAAACGTCCCAGCTAACCCGCGGAAAACAGGGGCCAACGCAGGTGCAAAAAGCGCGGCGGGTTTGTGAAAATCGACAAGTCTCCTGGCGGCGGCAAGGACCATCAGCCAGCCGACGGCAGCGGCGATGCAGCTGTCACACTGACGCCAAAGGCACTGCAGGCCAAGGACAAATGGCAGCAGACCAGCGCTGCAAAGGAGCGGCTGCATGAGAGCTGAAGGACTCATCCCTGGCTGGGTGGCAGCGGCGCAAGATCGAGCTCAAACTCAAGCACGGCGGCGACCAATGGGACCCAACGAAGAAAATAGCCGCGTCCAGCATGGAAAAGATCCGCTTGCTCAATGCCGAGTTCCCAGAGGTATGGACCATGCAGCGGCTGTCGGAGCAGTTTAAGGTGTCGCAGGAGACGATCAGGCGCATCCTAAAGTCAAAGTTCCGCCCGTCCGACGAGCACATCGAGAAGCGGGAGCAGAACGCAAGGACCAGCTTAGCACCTTCAAGCAGGAGACGCGCATGGCTGAGCGAGACGGTGGATTTAAAGGTCTGAGGCAAGTGGGGCCCGAGGACGTTTGAGCGGTCCATAAGGTCTGAGGAAAATAGAACGCCAAGGAAGTTTGAGCGGTCCGTAAGGTCTGAGGCAAATGGAACATCGAGGAATTTTGAGCGTACTGAAAGGTCCGAGACGTACAGAACAAGGCTTCGAGCGCAGCCGAGAGAACACCGAGGACTTTCGAGCCACCAGAGGGTCCAAGAGATCTGATGAGCGGTGACTGCTGTGCTGAGTCGGACACCGCATTTAGAATTTCCCATTTTTGTATTCATCACAATCGTCTTCAATATTTAGCCTGTCTCCCACCGTTTTACTTTTGGGCAGCTGGTCTGCGGAGCCTTAGCCTCTGTCTATCCAATGTACCCATTTACTCTCTGGATCCTATTTATCCAGACCACCACAGTATAGGAGGTTGGTACGCCGAGGCATGTTGCCACGTTGCCACAAGTCCTTCTGCGCTTTTTCTCAAATAGCACGTGTTGGTGCCTTTATCACTGCTTGTATTCTGCGAGTCGCCGCCCAACCAGGCATGTGAAAAGGGCAGGTCTGCCTTTTCTTTCACACGTGCATCTTTTGCAGCATTTGTTTTTTTACGAGCCTTGCTGCGACAAGGGCGCGCGGACGCATGGGTGGAATGGGGGTTCAGTCGCAAATCAAGCCCCGCTTTCAAGCTCTGCTGCCTTGCCCCAATTGAATATTGCGCACTGCAAGCGCCTCCTTTGTCTTTGCAATATAAAGCGCTCAGCCGTCAGAGCCAGCGGGCCCGACATTCCCTCCTTTCTTCTTTTCAACGCTGCCATTACTACATTGTTAATTTTATTCTCCCCTTTTTGCTTTATACACTGCACACTGCACACTGCACACTTCATTTGGCATCAACACATAAACACAGCGACAATGTCAGTCGAAGGGTTTATTTTCAGCGCCGCCTTTGACCAGCTAACCAGCGTTCTCACGACACTCTCCGCGAAGACCGCAAGAATGAAGTGAACAAAACCAAGGCAGTGTATGCATTCGAAGTGACCAACACCCAGGGCAAGAAGCATTATTTTGTTATTGATTTGAAGCATGTCGGAAAGGTCACCAATGCCGCAACCGAGGCCGATGCCGCCAAGGGCCAGCCCAAGCCTGACATCACTATAATCATCACCGACGACAACCTTGTCAGGATAATCGAGGGTAAGACCACCGCTGCTGCCGAGTTTATGAGCGGCAAGGTCAAAATCAAGGGCAACATGATGCTCGGGATGAAGCTCGAACCCACGCTCAAGCGCTTCAAGAAGCTGGCCGAGAATATTGCTGCGCTGCCCCTGCCCCTGCCGATGTCACTAAGCCTGTAGCAGTTTCTGCCGCTGCTGATGCTGCCCCTTCTTCTTCTGATGCTGACGTTACCGGCTCCCCCTCGGCCAAAGACCTTGTAGTCAAAGGATACGAGGGCAGTCTGATCATCGCTCAAATACTTAATGCATTTGCTGGGACGCTGCCAAGCGCGAGGCGACTCTCAAAACCACCAACGCAGTCTTCCAGATCGACCTCAATGGGCCCGAGGGCATCAAGTCGTGGGTTCTCAATCTTAAGCCTGGAACAAGTGCCACAGATATTGTTCTTTCTGGGACTGCTGCTGATAACAAAAAGACAGCTGGTGTCACCTTGATCCTCAAAGATTCTGACTTTGTCGACCTGGCTTCAGGAAAGCTCACAGGGCAGGGTGCCTTCATGTCGGGCAAGCTTAAGTCCAAGGGCAACGTGATGCTGGCGCTCAAGCTGGAGTCTGTTCTCAAGGCCGCCAAGGGACCTGCGCCAAGCTCTAGAAAATCAATAGCTTACCATATCCCTTTAATTCCAATCTCAAAGCCAACTGCAATAATAATAATAATAACCGCACAGTAGTGCTATTTGATAGAGCTGCTATTGTCATTGCCAGTCCTGGCGTGCGTGTGGTGCAGCGTAGGTGCCTTTAAAGGCCAGTATGCATATATACATTGTGCATGCCTCAGGCATGCCAATAAGGCAGGGTGTTGCATTTGCTCACATTTAGCAGCTGGCAGACATGGTCACGCTTTGCAAATATAGCTTTCCCCCTTATTCCTTTGGCCGATCGGCAGTGTAAAAAGTGACAATAGTATTCCATGCCGGTTCGTTTTTCACTCTACCCCAACTGACTGTATTCATAGGCCAGGATATAATAAAATTCCTCCCGAGTACATGGTATCTTTAGACAATAAACCGCGGTACTTTTTGAAATGTGCTAAACAATAAAACTGCAATTTATGACGAGCCATTGCAACTCGGGGGCATTGCAAGTGCAGAAAACCAACTATCAGCGTCAGTTCTGATGACGCCAAACTACATTTATTTGTGCTGTTGAGTGCCAGTGTACAGCAGTGAAAATTGTTTTCTAATCGGCTGATACACTATGCAGACTTTGAAATGTTGGGATGCATGTCTGGCACGCGGGACTTTAGATCAGAGGATTGGGACGTTACAGCTCAGTCGAATAGGTGCTGCGCAGCATGTTAAAGTCTTGTGTTTGCGCTGACTTGCTCGCCAACTAGAAAAATGAGCACATGTTGGAATTAATGTTTTTGTTTGATATTATTGTACAACAGGACATTGGTGGTGCATATAGAGGAATAATGACACAAATGCAATGTTAGTAGGAGTGGTGAGAGCGGGAGTGTCGTTTTTTCCTTAAAATATATGCTTTACCAAGAAGTGGAAAGCGCACGACACCCGCACCCACCGCCTCGCACTGCAAAGTGTGCATGGCCAAACACACCAAAACGTGAAAATGCAAAAAAAAGTATAATAATGCACTGAAAATTCAATATCTACAAGTGAAAGCTCAAATTCTTGGATAATAAAAAGCACACTTTTTAAGCTCAATTATTATTTTCTATTATTCAGTGGTTTCTTTTAAATCATGATGATATCGACTTGTAAAATGAGAGAAATAAATAAAAAGTAAAATTAAAGAATGCATGACATACAAGCAAAGTCGGGCAAAGAATGGCTGCATGCTGCGTACCCTTTCTCTCCTTTTACCTTTTAAAATTAATTTTAAAAAAGCACAATAAACCCTTTAAATAAGAGAATAGAAATAGAAATTTTGTCTATTCAATTAACTTAAAGGCGCCTGTTTCCGAAAATAAAATAGCCAAGAAAAAAATGAGTGAGGGAAATGGCAGAGGGTACCATCTCAAGCATGTGCAATTCCTTAGTCGTTTATTATTTACTCACATTTGCCACCCCCTCCATGTCCATTGTTTTTTATATTTCCAGCAGATGTCTCACGAGGTACCTTGTAAAAAGAATAAAAATGGCAAAAAGACAGAATAAACAATGCTTTAAATGAACACGCTGGCTTTACTTGCTCTTGGAGCTTGGCGTAAGAGATTCCTCGTTAATGATAGGTGACTAAACGCTGAAAAATAATTGTCAATTCTACTCCTCATCTTGCTAGTATTCCTGCCAAAAGTGGGCCTATGAATGTTATAAAAAGTGCATCTCTGGCGTTGAGACATTTTCCTTCATTCACATTTCATTTCAACTCAATTTTAAATATCCAGTCCTGCATTTTATTTTCTATTTTCTGGTATCTTTTTTGCATTTATAAGTCGCATTCTATTAGTCATATTGTAATCACCTATCTATCAAGCAAGCCAACAAGCCAGCACACATCCGTAATATCCACAATGAGTTGGAGAGTCTGCAACACCAACAACACCAACCCTGGATACTACAACATCCAGGTTCCAACCTATGCCGGCCAATACCATTACACCATTTCCGGGTGTGCTCCAGTGGTTGCGTGCACGGAGCCTAAGAGGAGGGCTTACAAAGAGCTGAACAATAGCAACGACCGCATTTACAAGCCGTGCACAGAACTTTTTGCAGCGTACAAGGCGGCGGTAAGGAGGAGGACGATGCTAATTTTGCCAAGTACCATATGACTAAGGACCAATACATTGGGTATCTTCGCGACCACGCCTGAGCACCGAAAACTTGTCCAATGTAGAAAAGCCCAACGTGAGCCACTGCAGCATGTCCCACGACGATAACGGAAACCATATAGTTTATAGCATGCACTACAGCAACTATGGTTGCCACAACCATTACGGCCATCGTGGTGGCTATCATGGCTGCTTCCACTAAGCAGCGCTAACATAGCCCAACCAATGGCAAGTGTATATATATTTGCTTGACCAGATGGTGAGTCTGCTGTAATCTTAAGTTCGCAGTGAGAAATATTTTTGTTCCACCACAAAAAGGCATTGCGCGGTTTATACATTACTCATTACTATTGCTCATTACCCATCTTTTTCATTTTCATATATGATTACAAATATGTTTTTATACCAATTGTTATTGTCATCGCCAGAAATATGAACATGCATGCGCCTGCAAAATGAAATGCTTTGCATATCGCGTCAACTAAATAAAGAAAAAGAAAATCACCTGCTAGACGCAGCTAGCAGAAATGCATCCCTATACATATTTTGCTTATTTAATTGGTTATTCCAGCTTAAATCAGGGCATTTTCTACAAGATGTGCTTTGTTAGGAGAAATACAATTTAGTGAAAGCCTCCCATCTCAAGAATTCTGCTGACAACATTTTTGTGTGCACAGCCGCAGTTTTCTCCCAACAGTCACACATCGGCCATGCGACCTGGTGACCAAACCTAGCGCGGGGGGGTTTTAAAAAAATCGGCGACAAGCGCATGAATTATGCCAATTGGCTGTAATTGTGCGCGTAGGCCACCCGGGATTTGAGGTACAATACAAGTGCAATGATTATGCAAATATCATAATTATATTGTAATTAATCGATCATTGTATTGTGATTTGGAACTCGATTTAAAACTCGTTTTTACGTGTGTTGGTGTTTTTATTTGCGCCATTGCGGATCCAGCGGTCATTTTTGCTAGAGCAAAAAGCGCGCTTGCTTTTATCCGGCGAATGAGAATATGTATAACAATATTCAACCTCAGATCTCTGTCATATATATTACATTAAGGGGAAGGCAATATGCACATGCTTGTATTTCCCCTTTCCTTTCCATTTTTCTCTTTGTAAGAAAGATGCATGAGTGGCATTTGGGGCCAGTGAAGCGCATGCGGCAGCAGCAGCAGTGAGTGTCTGGACACAAAAAAATATGCCAGTGTCTTTTTGGATATGAACGCGCAAGGTAGAGTGTAGTTGCCCAAAATGCGCTCACCCCCACACGGTGTTTTGTTTGGGGGTGACACACAGCCCATTCACCTCAAGACTCAGTATTCCGATACAGCTAGCGCCTTGTAAGGGTGATTTCATACCAGATATACAAGCGGAGTGGTGCGTATGGGAGATCTCTGGCAATCGCAATCCCAATCGCAATCCCTCGTAAAGCAGAAGCCCACAACCGAAATAAAATACTTTAGACCCGGAAAAATACGCATGAGCACGTTTATTTGGCGCAATTGGTACCACCGAAAGCACCAAAAAGTGTACCAATTATGTCCGGTTGCGGCCAGAGTCGGCCGACCTTTCGGAGTTATACAGGAATGTAATGCCCCCGATTTCATCAAGAAACGGGCTGCACTATGGCGACCACGCTGATTTCCCCCATAGACTGGAGCGCGCGCAAATCCTATGCCCCTTTTCCTCCAGTTTAATTTTACACGCTGGCGGTTCATTCTTGTCCTATTAGCAGGAGCTGCGCGATTATGCGCTGATGGGTTCGTCCTGCATTTTTGCGTTGTGCTCATGATAAAACCACGTGCATAGTCTTGTACGCAGTGCTTGCGTCCTCACCGCTCAGCAGCCAGCTTCCAGCTTCCAGCCTACAAAGTACAACAATGATCCGGGAGGAAACAACAATGGCACGCAGAAATAGAAATAGAAAATAGAAAATAAATTTACATGGCGACAATGGCATCTGAGCGCGCATCCGCCTCTCACCACTGAGTTTGACAAGCCCAATCCAATATACAGTAACAAATACAATTCTCGCACGAGCTGGACAATGGGAGCAGGTGCCTGCAGAATGCACCTGGGCCGACCCTGCCTTGCCCGTACATATTTTCACTGAGTTTGCTGGAAGAGATGCTTTATTGAGCGTGAGCTTTCTCGGTGTTGGCCAGACCCAACGCTTTGAAGCGGCATTCTGGGCAGTTGTGTCACCGCTATTCCAACTGCAGAGCCAAACATGCAAGCAATATACGTGCTTCTGAACATAGTACACCGTGCGCGCGGCCGCTTTGTGCATATCGGCTGGCGGCCGCGTAAGCTCCGCTTATATATATACGCATGCCTGTACATATACACGTAGTCACAAATGGGTACTTATAGTAGAGCAAGAACATTGCCTTTAAAAATAATGCATGCTGCGGCGTATATAGTGACAGCTTACCCGAGGGCAGAGACGCGGAAAGAGTGTCTCGACATTAAGCTTGTGTGTGGGCCGTGTGTGGCTGTAGTCGCAAATGCGTGGAATGCAAGGCAGGTGAGGATGAGTGGAGAAACGACAAGGCTCCCCCGCCTGCTATTGACTGGCACCACGATTTGAAGAACAAACACACGCCCAAAAAGGACTCCGTGCCGGTGAGCGGGCAACTTAAAACTTTATGAACAATTCAGCAACTTCAAACACTGCGTGGTATAGTATGTGTGCGTATTAATTGCGTGCAATAATGAAGCGACATCAATGCAGATGGCCAGTTGGAGTTGGGGGGACGGGGCAGGCATCCTTCGCCCAACAATGGGCCTGGGAAGCGTCCAAATCAAGCCGCTGCCAGCGCTTGCCAGTATTCTCCGTTCGTAGTCTCGTGTCCTCAGCAGTGTGTTCCATTTGCAAATAGGGCCACCAAGGCCTCCATCGCGCAAAAGTACAATTAAAACAATAATAATGGGGGTTGAAAAAAGAACGCTGATGGAAAGGAAGGCAGGCGGGGATTGGCACCTGCAGAGCTCGGCTTGGAACGATAGTGCCTGCAAAAAAAGTGAAAGCGAAAGTAAAAAAAGTGACAGGCCAGCAGCCACTCCAAAGTGGCAGGGCAATACGAGCTGTGACATTCAGAATTCACGGGCAGCAACAAGAAATAGCGCTAGCACAGGTTACTAGCCATACTAGCTGCATTTGGCCCGCGCCCAGCTGTTTTCTGCGGTTCACTTTGCAAATTAATGCAACGACAAATTCACTCGCAGGTCACTGCCCCCCCCCCCCAAAACCTCCATTTCTGTGACACTATCGCTGGCCGCCGCCTAAGGTTGGAGGGTCCATATTATTATGCACGTGCACGCATTCGTCCGCATGCAGCCAAACTTCGAATACACACGCAAGTCACACGCAACCACCAAATTCGCACTGGCAGGAAAGAACAGCATAGATAATGGAAAATGGCTTTGAATCACAGCGCCAGACCCAGTGTGCACGCTTTGGGGAATTTTAACGAGGCAAGGAAACTATTGTTGTGTAATTGCAGTGACATAGCCATCTCAACAAAACACAACACAACACAAAACAAAGCAATACTCGTTCAAAGGCTGTAGACACCCGATAGACAAAAAACACACCGCACACTCACCTGTTGCGGCGCAAGTGCCGGAATGTATAAAACGGCGACCTCATTCCTCGAGTGCCACGCCCGCCTTGCTTTCCATCAACACTTCAACTAGCTCCATCCACATCAACACTTCCAATATCTTTGTCTATTTTCAATAGCTCCGCCCTATCGCGTTGTACACCAGCACACACAACCACCTGCTCTCACATAGGATACACATTCCACCTCCACTCTTGCTTTCACATATTAGACCCGGCTACGCATCACACCGCCCGTTTTATCACCAAGGACTACAACTGCCACTGCACTATCAACAGGTAACGTATGTCTTGCCGACGAGTACACATGTATATTTGTTCGGTGCTCCAGGCAACTGCGCCTGCCGCATATGTCCTTTCCCACTCTTCAGCTACTCAAAGCAACACCACTCAAAATAACCGCCCATCTGCCTACATGCTTGGGCTGCTTCTCAACCGCATGTAACCCATCTTTCGATGGTCGTCATCAGCAATCCATTAAATTCATACATCCTGCATTGGCGCGCATCGTCACATCATATGCACATGCAATTATCGAATATTACTGCACATTGCCACAGACCACAGCTTTCTACGCCCCATGTCCTGGCAGTGCTTTTATTTTTAAATTATCTCCACTTTATTATGCTCTGCATTTGCTTTTGGCTTTGCCATTGTCTCCTTATTTTTTGCAGTCTGGGCCAAAAATGCGCGTGGCGCGCAATGATACAAAGAGATGTTGTATAAAACAACTTGAGGCCCTCGACATTTCTCGCGCTTCCCATTTTAAAATGACGCCACTATACATAGCTTCTACAGGACACATCTTGGCATCACACCTCACCAGCCGGGCGCACCGCACAACATATCTGATTCCTTTTAATCGACCTTATTTGCCTAATGGATAGGCGTCTTCCTTTGAAATTAAAAAGCAACCGCCTACAAAATTGAATTCATTGTCAAAAGGAAATTAAAAGGATTAATTATCCTGGCTGCCCATGCTTTGAGGGAGTATCCCACTGCCTTTTTATAATTAGCACTCAAGAAAACGCAGAAACAACAGTCATTGCATGTATTAAAGTCGCGTTGCTTTTTATTTTGACTTTGTGCATATTATTTTAATTCAATTCATCGCTCCACTTCGCTAACTGTCATTGAAACGCCTCTTGTTGCATTCACATACCCTCGGGTATATAGGTCGCTTGTCGGGACATTCACTTCTCGCTGCACACTTTGTTTCTCTCTATTCTTCATTCTTTATTTTTCAACTCTCACAATCAGCTCTTACATTACTGCCACCAGCATCGCATCACACCGCGCCCATTTAGCATATCCGTCCACTCACTGCAGTACTCATTCATTGCTACTGCTGTTCAAAACACAAAATCCACACACCACAGCAACACGCAATCTTAACCACACACAACAACAAAAACATCAAACAATGACCTACTGCCTCAAGAAGTCCCCCTACTTTGACACACCCAACGGCGTCCCGGTGCCTACCTACACGTGCGACGGCGACGAGTGGGTCAACCTGCCAATTAACCTCTCGAACAAGGATCAGACATACATCTTCTCCAAGTGCGCTGCCACTAAGAAGGCCGAACCTGCAAGTGCCAGGCGTGCGTCGACGCAGAGAAGGCAAAAAAGCAGGCCTTTAACTGCGCCTGCATCACCTGTGTGAAGGCTGCTGAGGATGCCAAGGCCAAAGCTGCCAAGTGCCCCTGCGAGACGTGCTTTAAGGCCGCGAAGGCCGCTGAGGCCAAGTGCGCGTGCTCCGCCTGCAAGGCTGCCGAGGCCAAGAAGCCGCGGAGGCCAAGTTGGCCTGTGAATGCGCCGAGTGCAAGGCAGCTGCCGCCAAGAAGACCTGTGCCTGTGCCGACTGCAAGAAGGCCAATGATGCCAAGAAGACCTGTGCTTGCGTCGAGTGCAAGAAGGCCGAGGAGGCCAAGAAGTGCCCCTGCGCCGCCTGTGTGGCCGCTGCAAAGGCCGCCGATAACGCCAAAAAGTGCCCGTGCGAATTCTGCATAAAGGCGGCCAAGGACGCCGAGGAGGCCAAGAAGAAGTGCGCCTGTGCCGAGTGCAAGAAGGCCGCCGAAGAGGCCCAGAAGAAATGCCCCTGCGCCGAGTGCAAGAAGGCCGAGGACGCAAAGAAGGCCTGCGCATGTGCCACCTGCGTAAAGGCGGCTGAGGAGGCCAAGGCCAAAGCTGCCAAGTGCCCCTGCGACGCTTGCAAGCCGAAGCCCCCCGCACACGTCGTCATGTGCAACCCGTCGCCGTTTGCGTCGACGTGGAGCCCCTTCAACAACTACCGCCGTGAAGTTCCCTGCTACAGCGGCAGCTTCTTCAGCAACTTTGCTAACTTGCTGTAAAGCTCCTAAATGGCCTGGCGCCATTAAAGCCGGACTTTGCATGATCCTCATCCTCATTTATCTTCATCCTCTCTCTCTTTAAGCCGGCTGAATCGATGATTGTCATCCCGATTTGGCATGGTTTGTTATATTAAGTGCCAGTTGAGCCGGCAGCTGCAGGGTCCAAAAACAACAGCAAGATATGCACATCTGCATATTTTATCCGGATTAACTCACAGGAATCAAACAAAATATCCAGCTGCCGCCCTGTCATTCCTGGCCACAGCCTTCGCTCCATTTTTACCGTTAGCTAACATTATTTTCTTAGTATCTCTTATCCATATCTGTATAAATCTTATCCACCAAACAAAAGATCCATGCTGCTGCACCAATTGTTGCTGCTGCTTTCTGGATTTCAAAACTCGCCAATATGTTTTTTTTACAACCAGACACATTATTCTTGTGCCATTATTTGGCAAATAAATCTGGTTGTGTACGTGGTGCGGCACAAGAAGCAGTGTGAGAACGAGGACGGCTGGCCAACATACAATTAAAGGCGGATATGCCAATAATATGTACATTTTTAGACAAGAAATATATTCTTGCGACTTACATTTAATGTGATATGAACGGGTTAATTGTTCATTTTTCACATATTTTGTGCCTCTCATATGCGAGCATGCACAGGTGCGCTGATGTGCAGCCGCGTCAAAAAAATAGATGCAGCACGTCAGTGTGCGCTCGACACACATACACACAAGGATATCTAAGCCAAGTATACCATTGGCGGCACAATTGCAAAGCATGAATGAAAATGATTAGAATGAAAACGTATTCACACAAAGTAGAAACACCAAAGAAAGCCAAGCCAAGGCCTAAGCCTGGGAATCAGACCAGAGCATTGTTCGATGTGAAAAAATACCGCAGACGTGGCAATCGTACCCTTTAAAGGTACCGACTTTCAAGTCATTAAGGCCGCTGATGCACACCCTGCATCCCCGCAGTTGCTCGCCAAAATTGACGCGCAGGCGCACGTCTGCAAACAACAAACTGCCACTGTTTCAAAGCTACGCCGCCTCCAAAGAACCAAATTGTCTGTCTTTTTGCAAAGACAGAAAATAAAAAAATGAGCGACAATGTTTCCTTGGCAAATCCCCAAAATAGGGTGGGCCAACAGTTGCCAAATCTGGATATAGTCGCACTCTTTTTCAGAAAACAATTGGGCTTTTTTTGACGCATTTATTGATTTGTAAAGTTGTTAATTTTTCATTGTTTACGCGGGGCTTAAAATGCCTCTACTTTTTTGCCTTTAAATACCGCAGCCAGGGCCGCAGCATGGCATACGGGCGATGCATTCTCATGTCAAGGGCCATTGCGCCTCGTCATGCTAACATTTTAGCGTAAGCAATCGCACTCTAAGACTTACGGCAGCAATAACACCAGAAGCAGCAGAAGCAAGGATGGCAAATATGAAACAAAGTACAGAAAGTGCCAGATGCAGCAAAGGAAACGGAAAGCGTCGCGGAGGTGCGGCCAACTTGTCAGCAGCCTTTGTAGGCATCATCAGCAAAAATGGCGGCGCAGGCTAAAAAATAGTGGGATTCTTTTTCTTTTTTTGACCCAACTCCAATTCCAATTTTCTATTTACAAAGCGACACTCTATCTTTCCTAAAAGCACACCCCCCCTTACCATCCCCTTACCACCCCCACTCCCCATCCCTTTGGGGATTTATTGTTACTTTTGCTGCTTGGTGTCATATTCTGTTACATGATTTTACTAGACAAGTTTGGAGTATAAAGACTGACCGAATTCTTTCCCCTGTCATTCAGCTCTCTTTTCTCACACCACCCAACTCACACTTTTCCTTTTCCTTTTCTTTTTTAATTATTTATTTCTCCCTCTTCCGCCTGTGATCCACATTCATTGTGCTCTATATTATATATCTGGAAGTCTCGATAGCTGTCTTCAGTTTCAAGATCCATTTCAGTCCAACCCAACCCCATAAAATACAACACAGAATCCCAGATCGCTTCGATATAAATCCACGTCAACCATGAGCCACTTTTACTACGACTTTACAAAGACCGGCGCCTTTGACCTCACCAATGGCTCAGCCACTATTACTGTCAATAGCGTCCAGCATAATATTGACGTCTGCATTTGCACCAACTGCGTGGCTATTCGCGCCGCAAAGAGGGCTGAGGATGAGAAGCGGAAGGAAGCCTTCCACGTCCACACCCACGCCCATGCCCACTGCTGCTGCCATCACCACCATTAATCGGGCGGTGGTGGTGGCTGCCTGATCTGGCACGTCGCTGCTTTCTCTGTAGGCATTGGCGTATATGGCTCATATGTTGCCATACAACGCCCCCTATTATGAGCGCTGCGCGTCCCAGTGGGTGGTTTACAGCTCCGGGACTTGATTTCAGCTCCCGGAATTCCTTTTCTTCACATTCTTTTGTCTTCTCCATATTTGTAATTTGTCTATCCTGGAAAATAAAAAATATTTACACTATTTAATATCGGTTGCATCTAATTGTTCGTATCAAGAAAATGCCATCACGAGAGTAAATGATAATGGTAAACAAGTTTAAATGACAGATCACATCTGTCGTCAATTTTATTTTTATTACGGCCGCATAATTGACACTAAGCGTGAATGTCATGCACTTGCCGCGTGGTTTGGCCAAAACTATTATTTTCTATTTGAAATTAGAGGCTGCAGAATGAAAAAACATGTTGATTTTGCCAAATATGCACGTAGTACGTATCACTGGACACTTAATTCGACCATATATATGTAAATTTAAATTTAAAGCGTTGCACACAAGTTTTACATGCAATGCTTGCGCAAAATGACAATAACGTAGCGCATGTCACAGGTAATTGTAAAGGATGTCTCTTTTTGGCACGCAAAATGTATGTGTTTCTGAGGGTGTGACAGTAAGCAAAAGAAAGCAGATAGCACTATTTTTTTGCGCAGCAAAATAATTATATTTTTCTTTACAATACCTATATGCCGCCTTGTCGAGAGCCTTATGCTAACATGTTCTTACAAAAGCAGATCAGCTCAGCTCAGTTATCTCTGCCTATCTTGGCTCAACAAGCCAGGATAGGGGATATACACCGTGATTAGAACTGGTAATCCTGCATTTTTAACTCAGTTGGCCGCTTTGCAGCTCGTTCGCACAAAGCGGTTAGTTGCAACGAGTCCTGTCTTTCTGGGCGTCAAATGGGGAAGGCAAAAAACCGAAATACAACACTACTATTTTGTGCAGAGAAGGCACAACACTCAAAAATCCCATGCATGCCAGAGCGTACTATACCAAAAAAAAACAAAAAAAAACAGCGTGAATAAAAAATGGGAGTGCAAACCAGCTCGAATTTTTTACGTTAAATCTCTCTTTTCCTCCTCTCCGTTACCTACTTCATTCATTAATTCATTGACCAATCCATCTATTTATTATTCGTGTGCTTATCGCTTCAGCTTTAGTTTCACTTTATTCATCTTTTCGTCTGGAAATCCTCTCGCCGCTCACAGCTTTACTCATCTTTTGATCCAATAGGCGCACCCACTCATTACACAGCATGGCAGTCTGGAAACAAGGCGGATTCTTCCAAGAGATGGCTGAGAGAGAGCAGCACCTGAAATGGTACCCCAAGGCCTTCGTCCCCGGAGTCAAGGACAAGGACGGCGTTTTAGTTGTGGGAATAACCTGCAACTCGTGCGGCACATGTGACTTTTGTATTGCGCAAAAGAAGTGCAGCAAGCCACCCGCTCCCGCTCCTGCGCCACCCGCACCTGCGCCAGCACCGCCGAAAGAAAAGTGCCACTGCTGTTGCTCGTGCTGATAGGAGAGTGCGTGCTATTGGGTGTTTGAATGCTAGCGGTCTCGCAATCGACCATGTACATATGGCATCGCAATGCGAGCGGATTCTGTTTTGAGCCGTGTGCAGACTTTATGGCAGCGCCAATATTATCATCTTTAAACCCTTACATATATACCAAAAAACAAGCAAATATCCGTATTATTCAAATAAAAAATAAAAATAGTATGGTTAACTTTTGGTCAAGGGTGCCGCCAGCTCTGGCAAGGTTTCACTTGGCGATGATTCTTTTTTCTTCCGCTTTGGCACGGAATCTTGCTTGCTACTCTGTTGCGTTTGCTATTGAGTACAGAGCTCGCATCAATTTGTTTGTAAAGTAAAAATAGGAGTCGAATTGTTAGTACTCGCCATTATTCATATTGTCGCCCAACCGACAAGAACCCTAGCATCCAGGCACAATAGCCGGGGAGATTCAACAGCACAGTGGTATGATGGGTCCTTTCTCCCGTATTTTACAAGCTCTTTCAGGGTTTAGTTGTCTTACCATTTGCGAAAGCAACGCGTCAAAGTCCATATCATCGACAGTTGAGAACGTCGGAAGCTTCCCTGCACCGTCATCCCAAGAGGGCCCGAGGTAGACACCCTACAAGAACAAACATGGCCCATCAACGCACACATATACACAGTTGGGTTAATGGTGTAGACATGTTACCAGGCTGAAACACATACATACACACATACATTTCGCCATCAATATAAAAAAGAAGTTACCTTGCGTTTCTTCGTGTGCTGTTTTCCACTGTTCCTTTTCGCTGGCGCAGCCTCTGTCGCAGCAAGCTTTGGCGGTTGCATGCTGACACGGGTAAGCATTCCTTCGCAGAGACTGTTGTATTTGAAATTCCAATGTTAGTTCTGTTTTCAGTCGCATGGCGCTTGTTTTCTGGGACTCGTACTCGTATGGCGGAATGGGAGTTGTGTCGATAGATGATACTTTCACAGACAAGCGCTGCGTTTGCTTAGTGTTCTGGGTCGTATGCAGTGTTGTATTCAGACTTTCCGCAGCTTCTGTCAAAACTAAGGCGGCAGGAGCGGTCGTGACTGTGGTCATGGCCGCCGTCGTTGGAGAAAATGCCTGTGAGCTAGTGTGGGCACTGCTGGTAACTGCAGTGACTCTGTGTTTGGCAAGTGGCGGATAGGTGCCATCCTTGGCTTTGTTCCACGAGAAGCGCTTAAATCGTGACGACCGCTTGGTCGCCATTGGCAATCCGATTGTAGACATCGTAGCTGCTGTTATGCGGGTGTGGCGAGCTTTTCTGCCTTAAGAAAGTATGGTTGCTCAAAATATAAACAAAAATTTTAATTTTAAAAACAGAAAAAGGCGAAAGCGTAGAGGTAACCTTGATAGAGATGCGCGCGTTATTACAAATACCCGTTAGTCAGTAAGCTGGTGCTGTCGGACAAATATTTTTTTGTTGGTGGGTCGGCAATATACAAAAAAATTAATATACTGGCTATGGATATACAGTCACTTACGGGTATAAGCACGTGGAAAAGCACAGCCATCCTGCCATCCTGCCATCCCGCTATTCTGTTGCCCCGCCATTTTGTATTTTCATTCATGCTCAGAAGTCAGAGACACAGCGGCTGTCATTAGCAGTGCATCGCGGCCAACCGAATAGTAGTCGCGAATCTTGGCTTTAGTGACAAATCCGCACTGGGAATATAGCCCGACTGCATCATGTCTGTCGCTGTCCACATGAAGCTGCGCGGTATAGACATTCATCTGGAATCCGGAGCCTGGGTGAAAAAATAATGACGAAATGGCAGGATCGGGCACCTGATTGCTTCCAAGGGCCGCCAGCATGCTGCATAGCAAAAGCTTGCCCGCTCCCTGCCTCCTAAAGCAAGGGTCAGTGCACATTTTAGATATCCTTGCCGTGCAATCAATTTTGCTGAGCGCCAACACACCGTATGCTACAAGCTGGAAGCAGGGCGAGGTGGCGGTAGAGAGTGCAGCATGTTGAAACTTTAAGACAACAAACAGAAACTGGTTTGGTTTGTGCAGCTCTTTGCCAAGATCCATTGCCTCTGCCTTTGGAAACACTCGGCGCTCTAGTTGCTGGCATCTGGCGACAATTCCTTCATAGTCCGTTTTGGTAAGGCGCGGGTGCCGTTCCCTTTCAAGCCGCGGAATCGGAGACACAATGAGCGATATCATTTGGTTTAAAGTCACATCCTGCTCATCTATCGATTCTGCTGGTGACTGCGATTGTGGCTGCGGGTGCAGGTGCGGGTGCGGCTGTCGCTGCGTCTGTTTCGGGCGGGCCTTGTTGCTGTTGCCCTTGATGCTGGGCATGCGTATAATGGGAAGCACTCGTTGTTGGATCGTGTATGTGTGGTTAGTAAAGGGGTGCTCGCTCGCTCGCTCGCCGGAACAGGATGATGAAAATGCAAAAAAAATCTAAAGAGGCAAACCAAGGCAAAGCACAACTCAAAAACGAACGACGTGTTTTTGTTGACCAAAATTTCACACACATAATTGAAAAGACAAGCCTGATCAGATCACACTATTGTGATCAGACATAACTGATTTTGGACATATTTTTTTCCTCTTGTTATAGTGCCAAAAAAAACTGCACCTATGTTTCTCTTTGGTGGTCTTGCCACGCGTGGCGTTTCTTCTCTCGTCTGCAGTGTTCGTCTTTCTCTAACTGTCTTTATTTCTTTTAGCAAGCTCAGAAGCCACGTATCGACATGCCAAAGATTACAACACAGCAGCTGCGCAAGCGCACACAGGAGTCGGCAGCCAATGCCGTGATCAAACCAAAGACAATCAGCTCCCCGTACGATATGTCGCAGCGGCTCGCAAAGAAGCCAGCGGGCAGTAGCGGCGAGGGCTCACGGCATTTTGGCCCAATGTTCAACAAGGATCTGGGCCAACACATTCTTATCAACCCACTGGTTTCGCAGGGCATTGTCGACAAGGCGCGGCTGAAGCAGACAGACACCGTGCTCGAGGTCGGCCCGGGAACTGGTAATTTGACGGTGAAAATCCTTGAGCAGGCGAAGCGGGTGATTGCATGTGAGGCTGATGCCCGACTGGCGGCCGAGCTGACAAAGCGCGTGCAGGGCGGGCCATTCCAGCACAAGCTGGAGATCATCCACGGCGACGTAATGAAACAGACGCTGCCTTTCTTCGACGTGTGTATCTCTAACACGCCGTACCAGATCTCCTCGCCACTGACGTTCAAGCTGCTCTTCCACCGGCCGATCTTCAGATGTGCCGTGCTGATGTTCCAGCACGAGTTCTCGCTGCGGCTGATCGCGCGGCCGGGCGACTCGCAGTACGGGCGGCTGTCGTCAATTGCCAGTTGTATGCCAAGGTTGCGCTGGTGATGAAGGTTGGCAAAAACAACTTTAAGCCTCCGCCCAAAGTCGAGAGCAGCGTCGTGCGCATCGAGCCACTGGACCCGCCGCCTCCCGTTGACTTTGAGGAATGGGACGGCATGGTGCGCATCGCTTTTTCGCGCAAGAACAAGACGCTGGCCGCCAACTTCAAGTCGACCGCGACCATGCAGATGCTCGAGGACAACTACAAGACGTTCTGCGCCTCCAACGAGTTGATGATTGAGCCCGACTTTGACATCAAGACCAAGGTGCTGGGCGTGCTCGAGCAGCTGAGCTTCTCTGACACGCGTGCGGCTAAGATGGACGGCGTTGACTTCCTCAGGATGCTGTCGGCCTTCCACGACGCCAATATCCACTTCTGCTAATGGCGGACAAAGTAGTGGGGGCCTGCTGGGGCATGCCGATTGGTCAAGCATGCACGTGACATACTCATTTAACGCCAGTGCCCTTTTGACAGGCCCTGTGTAAATGCGTGCGTTTTTCCATTTCGACAAATTTGTTTCTTTTTTGCTTCAATAATATTCACATTTCACTCTTTCAATTCAAAATGACCAATCTGTCGCTATACACGGTTCGCGCCATGATCATCCTCGATGGCGATGGCAACAGGCTAATTGCAAAGTACTACACACGAGGGCAGGCTGAGCAGAGCTACCGAAGCGTTAAGGAACAGAAGAAGTTTGAAAGCGAGCTGTTTGCAAAGACGCGCAAGACTAACGCCCAGGTTGTTCTCTACGACGGGCAGACAGTTCTATTATAAACAGCAACGACGTCTACTTTTACTTGGTCGGCGACCCCGAGGAGAACGAGCTTTTGCTGCTGTCAGCGCTGCAGGGCTTCTACGATGGAGTGTGCCAACTGGTGAAATACGACTTGTCCAAGCGCAAGGTTCTGGATAACTTGGACATGGTTGTGCTCGCCCTGGATGAGGCCATAGATGACGGGATCGTGCTCGAGACTGATGGCAACGTCATCGCTTCCAACGTGTCTAAGCGGGGCGTCGACACAATTGACATGTCGCTGTCTAACCTCAACGAGCAGACGCTGATTGATGCATACAAGCAGGCCAAGGAGCGCTTCAACCTTGCGATGCTCAGATGAAATGAGGTTATTTAGCGTAGCGGGCGTTTTGTCAATATTATATGTTCTGGTTACGTCTTAATTGAGACTGAACCTGCCTTTTGCTGCGCTTACACTGAAGAAAAGAATGAAAGTACAAATATCTAAAAAATTAAATTATCCTGCAAACCGACATCTTTTCTATTGTAATTGCATAGCAGCCCAGAACATGCTTAGGAACTAGAGGCAATAAATAGCCCAATATGACTGAGGATATTAATCATTGCGCTGCTTTTTGCAAAGAGATGCCTGGGCTTGGACATTAGCTTGGTGAAATTCTCGGGCGTCGCTGTAGACTCGGGTTCAGCAGACCTTAATCCCCTGCTAAGTGCTTATGAATGGGTACTGCCTTTTCCCTACCTTTTAACGAAATGTAAAAGCAAGTGGGTAAACACACTTTCAAGGTCTTCTCAATGGTCGGGGATTTGTTACAGTGTAATCTTTCACAAGTAGGGCGTCGGCAACACACGCCCAAAGAGGGGCGGCATGTGCTCATACTATTCTGCGCGCATAAACATTCACTTTTTTGCTGTTGTTGCTGCTTCCATCATCACCATCAGCAACATCTCCGTCACTCACTCTCTTTTTTCCTTTACCCTGCTTATACCTTTAAATTATCTCTCATTTTTAAATCGAATTTTCCATTTCAACCTTGTCCTCACTCTGAAGCACACAAGCTATTATCCGTCTTTACATACATACATATATTATTTCCAACGCTTTGGTTTTGCTAACAATTTGGTGGTACATTCGCACGACCTCAGCTCAACCTGCACTCTGCATTACATTCCACCCGTCTCATTAGAAACGAAGCCATGTCAGCAGCTGCCGCGGCACCGAGTCATGGACGGGGTTCCTCGGACTGTGTTCATTGCCAGCGCCTGACCAGCGAGGCGTCTGGCGGGCAGAGCATTGACACTTCCGCATTATACAACAGAATAAAGCACGCCACATGGAGTATAACCAAGGACGACGACTGGCAGGTAAGCACAATATAGATTGAGGAGCTCGACACACTGCTGGATCCCAACAAAGGGTAGTCTGACGACACATGTGGCTGATATCTCATACGCACATTTTGCCTCTAACAATATAGCTGCTCGTGGCAGTGCTTGGGCAGTCCGAGTTCATGCAAATCGATAAAGCCAAGGCGCCAGACAAGCGCACTGCCAAGCATGGGCTGATCGGCGAAAGCGTTTGCTCTATCCTGCCTTCACGAGTGACCATGGTGTCGTGTGCTGCACTGGACATGTCGCTTAAGGACTGGTCCGCATCCAGAGACCAGCGCAACAGCATTGCACACGCATGCACGCATTCAGAACGTACATTCGTGCTGGTCCAGTTTGTCGTTTGGCTTAGCTCAAATTCCGAAAACAGAAGGGTGCTGCTCCACCACGGTATCCTGCTGTGCATTTTCGAGGCGCTGGCAGCCATGCGCGAGGGCAGAGTCGACCTGCTCAGCGAAAATACACACGAAGATAATCAGGACGTCTTGCTTGTCGACGATATTCGCACGCTTGATTGGGGAAGCGTGCTTCGCAGAGGCTGCCGCGGCGGGGGCCGAGTCGCACAGGCAGGCACACGTCGAACAGCGAGCAGGAGGATACATGTGTGCTATTTCAGCATATAATGCACTTGTGTGTCGGTATTTTTGATCCTGACAAGCAATTTCCGAGCACTGCGCAATGCGACCGTAGTAGAGTCTATCTCTGACTTTAGCGTGGTCGACGTGCAAGAGGCGTCCGAGGGAATTTTGGCAGAGCTACTCTGTATATGGCGGCGACTAGAGACTGCGCCCTCACGCGCGTATTTTAGCCCAGCCATAGTCGCGCTGTGCTGCGCTACAGGTAGCATACTGGTGTCCGGCCGGATCGACAGCCAGCAGGCCCAGCAGCTGGGAGTCTTAGAGGCAATTGCGCCTACGCTGCTGTGGCTCCACATTGACGAGGCATACGTCGCATGGCGACTTCTGGTTGTGCTTGAGCTTCGGTACCCAAAGCTTTCTGGATGGCGCTCCAGCGCAATCCGTGGGCGCATCAACGGTCTTTGGGACGCTATATCGTCACAATCATCAGAGTGCTTGCGATTATACAATGCGTTTGTGCTCCCTGAAGCGGCCATGCCGATTTCAGCTGTCTCAGCGCAGATAGGGAGAGCTTGGACGCCATTTTCTCGACAGACCGGGCTGTGTCGATAGAAGGCGCCTTTGCCAATTTGCAGTGCCACGTAGGGATTCACGAGCAGGCAAAGGTTGGCACATTGAGAGCTGCGATCTGAAGAGTTATGTAGAGGATACCGGCGACATCAATGTTCCCGACACACGGCTGCGGCGCTCTCTGACACACTGGTCGCTTTACTGGCGCAGTCTGTCGACCAGGCGTCAGTCCCCCCGTTTATCCGGCACAGCCTTGCGGAGGTGCACCGGCTGTTTTTGGCATATACAGCTGTATACCGAACGATGGATCAGAGCAGCGGGCAGCCTGATGCCGTCGCGATGGCGGCGAGCTGAGGCACGTGCAGCTTTTTGTCCTCGAGTACGTGCGGTTTTTGTGGAATGTTTGGCGCCTGCCGCTGCAGCCAGCCATCGTGCGCTCCATATTTGTTGGCATGAGCATCGAAGTGTGGGACAGGCTGCTCTCGTTGGCAGCGATATCTGCAGGCCCTGTATCGGCTTTAGCTTCAGCTGGCGACTCGAGCACAGATATGCAGCCCACGTCAGGCGTGCTTCAGCGACTGTTTACTCTGTGTGGGTGGCTACTCACCAGGTCTGCGTCCAGCGGCTCGTCCGAAACCAACAGGCGCAGCATTCTCGAGCCGCACGCATGCAAATTGATTTTCAGCAGGATGGTTAGCTCCATTTCCGCACTAGCAATGCGCTTGTCATTGCACGCCGATTCTGTGGCTAGCTTGTCGGCATTATTTGCAGCTCAGGGGCTGGCGCTGGTCAGCTGGAGTGATGTCAGCCACTTCCGCTCGCTGCTTCATGAAACGCAATGTGCCGGCTTTATTATTACCGCGCTCTATCATATGGACCGTGTCATCAAGAAAAGCGACAGCCTGGGCTCGCCTGGGATTATCACGCAGAGCATTGGCGATCTTTCTGTAGTTAGTTTGCCTGAGGAGACTGGTTGGGACATCTCAGAGAGTAGGGCGCCAGCGAATCGCATGTGCTGGGCGAGCAGCTGACAGCCATGATCATGTTTTTGGTACAATCATCGGTTGCCGAGTCTGCAGATGGCACACGCAGCACCGATGATAGCCTGGTGTCCTTGCATGCCAGCGACGCGGCAGATCCGGGCCAGTTCTGCATTGTTTGGCAGACGTGCCACTCGGCCATCCAGAGGCAGCAGTGCTCATCAGAAACAATAAGCTGCTTGTCTGTGCTTACCGAACTGGGTCAAGTAAAATCCCTGAAGTGGCTCAGTTTTCCAAGTATTTGGCTACCACGTTCTTATCCTGGCACATTGTCAGTGCGCTCAGTGGTAGTAATGCTGTCGATATCAATGTCGATGTTGGTGTAGGAGCGACCGAAATCACAGCGCAAGAGCGGAATTCAACAGCGCTGCTGTGGTCCACTGCTGTTTTGCAGTGGTTGGTACCAGAGATCTCAGCAGAACAGCAGCCGTCCAACAGCACGCCAGATTTATTGCGCACTACCGCGAGTCATTGGAGAGAGCGGCCCTGACCCTTGGTCAACCAAAGAGCTGCGAAGATATCCGGTCGTTCGTAATGCGCGGCAGCACAATGGACGATCTTTTGGTCTGATGCAGCTAGTGGCCACTTTGGATCCGAGTCACCATCCATCGAGTCTTCAGTGTTCTCCAGCTTTGCCGACGAACAGAGCTTGGCGCTTTCTGACAGTAGATCCGATGTTGGTGAGCATATCGGCGATTTGATCGGCGAGACGATCCGTCTGATTGCCTTTCTAATACACGGCTCTTCGAGATATACTGGTGCGTTTTCCGAAATTTCTGGCTACCAAACCGTGCACTCGTGCGTGGCGCGCATAATTCGGCATGGATCTGTGTCCCGGTGCCAGTGATGCGCGGGGTTTTGGCACTGCTATCCGGATCGATGGATCCATCAACTGTCGGGCGCTGGGCTTGCTTAGGATCGACCACAACTGGATTGCTACAGCGACAACTGTGTTTCAAGATGTCCGTGGCTGAGCGCATACCAGCGCTGCGCTTTGTTGCCAGCTGGTGCGAGGAGAGTAGTCGCGCGCAATGGTATTGGTCGCAGGGGGGCCTGGTCCGCCACTACATCGAGCGAATGCAGCTGCTGCTCACCGAGCTATCAGAAGTATCGTTGAGTCGCCAGGACCGGCATGCCTGTGCTGTGGGCTACACAAAGAGTCTGGGACGCATGCTGGTTCAGTGATGCGGATGTCTACATGCGCATCAGATCTAAAGCTGGTGTTTCGGACGCTGGTCTCTGGGCCAGGGCCACTGGATGACGGGCACGCCTTGGCTCTCGAGCCCGACGAGATTACCGAATACACAGCCATGGTCAGACGCATGCTATCGCTGGTGTTAATGCGATGTGCGCGGTGCCCAGGCGGCGCCAGCTATTTCAGTTTGATGGCCGGCCGGCGTCGATCCAAACGCCGCACTTTCGCCGCATTCCTGAGCGCGGATTTACCTTTGCAGCATGGATCCACCCAGACAAAATTGTGGCGCGCAACGACCACAACCATCTGCTGGCCAAGCAATCCTTCAGCACACTGTCGTCGTTGAATGCGCCCAGAGCAGGCAGCCGAAAGCGTCTGGCAGATGCCCTGTCGATGCTTCTCAGCGGCGGAGATGAACCGCGGCCCACCCTTGCAACGGTGCTCTGTCTTCCAGCTACGAGCGGTAATGAGCTGGTGATCTCACACGACTATGTCTCGCAGGGCATAGAAATGCGAGTTATGGCGGGCGGCATAAGTCACAGTCTAAAGTGCGCCGAGGGCTCGGTGACGCCGGGCGCTGGCATTTGCTGGCAGTATGCTATGCACCGCCCAAGCGCGGCTGGTCGCCGTTTGGCTCGTCCAACCTGCACATATACGTGGACGGGGTGCTGGCTCACAAGAGCTCGATCCCATTCATAGACCATTCAGCCTACCAAGCGTGCCTTGTTGGCGGATCGCCGGGCACTGGTCACATTATTTTTCGGGTCGCATATCGGCAATTCGCATGTTCGACGGCCCCCTGAAAAGCACCGAGTCGAGTTACTGCACCACTTAGGGCCGGCGCACTCCTCACAGCTGCGCAAGTCCCAGGCATTCGATCCGTCGGTATCCATCGCGGCGCTGAACCAAACATGCGCGAAACCAGCCGCTGCGTCACTCTCGGATACGCTCGGCGAAGACCTGGCAACAATGTTCCGCACCAGCGATCTGAGCAGCAGACTTATTGCGTGCCTCGTTCCCGATGCCACTGATCGCAGCATATGTCTAGATTTGAGCCCGATCGGTATAAGCCAGTCCATTGTTCGCAAAAATATCACCGGCAGCAGCACTGCGAGTTTGGCTGCCAACGTTGCGGCGGGGGCTATACCCCTGGGCCAGGCCAGCCAGGTGCCCAGCACTTGGGAGAATGCCGAGGCCAGAGCGCGCCTTGTAGAGGCTGCTGAGCCTTGGCAGATGCACGGCGACGTGCTTTCGGTGACTGCAACGGGAGTCCACAGGGCACTCCATTCGCTGGGCGGGCTAGAGGTGACCCTGGTTCTCTTGTACCACTTGGACTGGATTGGCTCGGCCAGCCCGCCGGCGAAAGAAGGCCCACTCGGCTCCGAAGAAAGCGCTTTTGACCAGCGCACGCTAGACTGCGCACCCCTGCCATCCTACTTTTACTGGCTACGCGATCTAGTTCGGGGTCATCCGTGGCACTTGATGGGGGTTCGCGCCTTGAATTTGGTGGGCCTTATCGGGCGCACGCTTCAGCAACAGTTGCGAGACCCCGAGGCTCATCTCACCATGGCCGCCCTGAGAGCGATGCAGGCCTTCCAGACTGCGCTTGACGAGCAAGGCGGTCTGCTTCCAACGTCATATCCAGGCACTTCGCAGCTTTGGAGCCAGGTTCAGCACGACCTAATTTTGAACTTTGAGATTTGGAGGCGCGCAGATGTAGCAACCCAGTTGCTTTACCTGAAGGAGGTGCATCGCGCACTGTGTCTAGGGCGGCGCGGAGACCGAGCGGGCAGGCGCTGCAATGCATCCTCGGGTATTAGCAATGGCAGCCCAGGCTCTGCATTCAGTGCTGGTGAAAATGCTCTTGGGGTACGCTGGATCCTCTATGCGCTATTTAATTATTATCCATACGACTCTTCGCAGCACATCTCACAGCAACAACAGCAGCAGCAGCAGAGTAAGGCGCGGGCTTCAGGCCGGCCGCTTTCTACGCGAGCATCCGTGCTAGTTAACGAGGCCACCACTCGCTACAGCTCGCCTTCCCCAATTGATGGCGACCGCGCGTTGGCTAGCAGCGTTAGCTTTGTTGCCAGTAGCGATGATGGTCTTGGATTTGCAGACAACGCCGACGATGACTTGAGCGGCGAAATCCCTGGGTTCCCCGCTTTGACGCGCGTTGAGGTTAAGCAGTTGCGCCGGGCGCTGCTGCACACGCTGGAACTGTTCCTGTCCACGTCTGACGACCACAGCACACCAGGTGCACGAAGCGCCCAGATTCCGGATCCCACAAAGGCCGACGTCGCCAATCTTGCCCGCCATCTGCTGTACGCGTGCAACAGAGACACCGAGCACACAAAGGAGGTTCTGCAGCTGCTGTTCCGCTGCCTGGCCGACGGGTCGCCCAATGCCGGTAGCCTCGCATCAAAGCTGATGACTGTGCACGGGTTTGATGTGCTGTGCCACATCATCGAATGCGACGACGACAGGATGGCGGCCGAAGCAATCAACATTGTTGTATTGTTACTGACTATGTCTGTCGCATCGCGCGAGCAGGAGAGCACTACAAGCCGGATCACAAATAGCTTGCGCGGCCGAATTCCAGTTGTCGTCGAGCCGGAAGACATTGCGCGTGTGCTAGCGCTCGTGCGCACAAAGAGGGCCCTTACGCCCGCGCTGTACCGGTCCCTTCTTTCATTGGCACTGAGAGACCACGTTTCGTTGTTGGCCAGCATCAACATTGCACTCCCCGCCAAAGGTTCATCGGCTGGAGTGCCAGTAAGCAGGCGAGCACACCATGTTCGCAATCTGTCAATGCCGCAGGGTCTTTCCGATCCCGTGTACACTGCTGACAACGCGTCTGTTGAGGCCCATGAGTCCTTTGTCGGGCCGCTACCGTCCCGGTTGATCCAAGTGGGCGAAGCGTGGTCTGTGATCATGGAGCTCTCTTGTGCATCGAGCACCGATCCAGCAATTCGGGTTGTGGTCATGTCCGACTTGCACCGGCTTTTAGACGATGAACCGGCCAACTACGAATGTATACACGCGTCCCATATCTCCCTACTGAGTCATCTAATCCTTGCTGTTGTACTCAGCGGATATATCTCCGACAGAGGCGATGTCATTCTGGAAGATGCCGGAAGCAGGTCAGAGCGGCTGGCTGACGCGTACACAAGAGCGTCAAACCAACTTGAACTTCTTCCACACACTACACTGGACCACCACACACAGGGACTTGCGGTTGGCCACGATAAGGCTCGCAAGGCGTGGATCCAGCGGCGTAGCAGCCAGATCCGCAGGTCAAAGTTCAATGACAGTATCGACGGTGGTGAGAGTAATGACCAAGACTATAGCGAGGAGTCGTTTGCCATTCAGGCTAAGGCAGAGCTCATGGGGCTCGCGGTTGAATGGTTCCAGGCAGCTACCAGTCTGATCCAAACGGTCGTGTGGAGTCAGTTCCGCAGCCGCACCAACTACGCCGACCACCTGCACCGCTCGATTGTCATGCTTTGGGCACATACACCAACAGGATCAGTGCCTTTGGCCGTCCAGCTCTTTTCGCGCGTTATCGCCCGGGCGCGCAGCCAATTATCGCCAGTGATGGAGCCGGCAGGTGGGGTCCACACCAGCGAATGGGTGCTGCCGCAGAACCTGGCGGCATTTGCGTCAAATGTGCTCGACACGCTGCTAAACTATCGCCAGTTCCAGGAGTACGTCGCCTACTACCACGAGCAGCTCAAGGCTCCTTCTTCAGGCCCAGCACCCAATGTGATGCAAAATTTTACGGCGAGCGTGACACCGTGTACCGAAGCCAGAATAGCCCCTGGGACGACACGCCCGAGCTGACACGCGACCTGGCCGAATTTATGCTGCAGCTGAGCGAATACGAGGCAAGTCTGAAGATGCCGATGTGCGGAGAGATCCTGCGGCTGGTGCTTTCGGGAGTGCGCAGCATGAACATGCAGCGAGTTGAGGAGAGCCTGTCACTTTTGATTCGCCTCTTGGAACAGCATCCCTCGATGAGGGCTGGTCCGCGGTCTTCAGAAACCAGCTTCGCCTCGGGGAATGTTTGCCGGGGTACTTGCTCCATATCGCACCTGGCGTTTGCCACACTTGGGTACATACACGAGGCCTACATGTTTACCGAAGATCAGACCGTCTCCGAAGATCCGTTACCAACAACGGAAGCAGCAGCAACCAAGCTGAAGTTAGGGACCGCATTGGAGATATGTACCTCATCGTTTTCCAGTGCTACTCTGTGTACCTGCAGAGCATCTGCCCCCGAATTTTCATATCCACAGTCACCACTGACGGCCGGCAAAGTGGCGAGTGTCCGAGCAGTCGCCACCAGTTTGCCCATCTGTTGCAGTTGCGTGAGTGGCAGGACTTTTACCGCGTCAGGCTTATGCCAGCAATGCGCAGCATGGAGGAGGACGAGATGAGGCAAGCCGCTTCTTCCCTGAGCAGATTTTCAGGCATTCTGCGAGAGCTCCTTGTGCAGTCGCACAAGACAGACTCGGCGCAAGTCCGTGCGACCAAGAGCGCCCAGACGAGCGTTGCTAGCAACACACTGCCAATTGAGGCGGAGGAAACTACACGCGTGAAGGCTGATGGGGTGAGTAGCACGAAGTTTGGACATTGGACCCGCCGGTGGCGCCACAGGCTGCGGGCACTATCGGCCCCGCGTGGGCCTTGGCGCTCTGGAAGCCATTCAGCGACGCTGCCGGTGCCAAGCACGCGGCGGTGGATGCTGGATATTGCTGAGAACAGCCATCGCATGCGCCGTCGCCTGATCAGGAACGCGCATTACGAGGACCATTATGTGGCTGCGAATCGGCGCGATCGCACCAGCCAGCGAGGAGCGAACAAAAGGCAGCCTCAGTCCGACAAGGAGCTTTTTGACAGCGATGAGGGGATTCTGCGCTTGTCGCTGAGCATCTCTGGAACGGGCGATGGCAGGAGCATCGATGGTGATGAGGAGTGGAGTATAGTCACGTCTGAGGACCTTGGGGTGGTAGCTGCGGCAACTGTTGATCCTAGCAGGGCTCATTTCAGTGTTGCAGGCGAGAGGATCATCATGCTCACTGGTGTGTGTGGTCGCATCGAGCTTACTCACTCGCAGCTGCGATTCACAGTCGAGCGCGACAGAAGCGGAGAAGCTTGTCTTCGAGGTTCGGACAGTTCAACCAGCAGCAGGACAGGCATGGGCAGTAGCAGCGGCAAGCGCGCCCGTGCTCAAAATGCTGCTGCAAACCTAGCCGAGACTTGCACCGACAACAGCAATGCAATGCCCCGTGTAATCCATGCCGAGCTCAACCGTGATTTCACGTGGCTGCTAGCAGATATCCAGCAGGTGCATCTGCGGCGGTACATGCTACGTAGCTCGGCCGTCGAGGTCTTTTTCCGAGATCGCACATCGGTGTTCTTCAATGTGCCTAACAAGAAGGGACTGATGCAACTGATCTGGAAGCTATCATCGCTGCCAGCGGTCAACAGTGGGCTGGCACTGTCGGATGTGCGGTCGCCGCCAGCGCTGTTGAGCCGATTGAAGTGACCGAGCGCTGGCAGCATGGCGAGATGAGCAACTTTGACTACATCATGGCGCTTAACACAGTTGCAGGACGGTCCTACAGCGACTTGTCGCAGTACCCAGTATTCCCCTGGATTATCAGCAACTACACCAGCAAGTGGCTGGACCTGAGTGATCCGAAGATATACCGCGACCTGTCGCGGCCCATAGGCGCGCTAAATGCCAAGCGGCTGAGCCATTTCATTGAGAGGTACGATTCGTTTGAGGATCCAAGCGGGAACATTAAAAAGTTCCACTATGGAACGCACTACTCGTCCGCCGCATCTGTGGCTTACTACTTGATCCGTCTCGAGCCCTTTGTTTCAGTCCACGTTGCTTTACAGAGCGGCAAATTTGACCATGCCGACCGCCAGTTCCATTCGATAAGCGATGCGTGGAATTCATGCATGACGGGTCCCGGTGACGTAAAGGAGCTTGTCCCAGAATTCTTCTATATGCCCGAGTTCCTGGTCAATCATAACGGAATCGACCTGGGCAAGAAGCAAGACGGCACGCGTCTGGGAGATGTGCAGTTGCCGCCCTGGGCATCGACGCCCGAGGAGTTTGTGAGCATCAACCGCCAGGCGCTCGAGTCCGAGTACGTTTCGGCAAACCTGCACAAGTGGGTCGATCTTATATTTGGTTACAAGCAGCGTGGGCCAGAGGCGGCCAAGGCGCACAATGTGTTCTACTACCTGACGTACGAGGGTGCCGTCAACTTGGATGCCATTCAGGACCCGGTCGAGCGCGCGAGCGTTGAGAGCCAAATCAATTATTTCGGACAAACTCCAACACAGCTGTTTGTCTCGCCGCATCTGCCGCGCCACGCACACTTGCCTCCGCCACTATACACGCCATTAACCAGCTCCAGCGGGCAGGTAAAGCAATTTGTTTTGCAGGCATCGAGCTGCGACATCACCTTTGTCGGCAGCCCCCAGCGGGTGACTCTGGGCCAAAGCGCCAACAATCTGGCAGCCCAGTACATCCCATGGCCCAGCGCGGATGCGTGCCTGCCAGCCTCGGCTCTGCTGGCCTCTACTATGGCGGCAGATGCAGGTGGACTCAGTGAGTCCAAGCGTCGGATGTCAAAGGAGACCATCACTGTTGTCGATGCGTCAGGCCGCGTGTCTGTGCACCAACTGACGCTGTTTACCAGCAGCGACTACAAGTTCCAGCTAACAGTCGAGCCATTAGTGGAGGGTCACTGCGTTCTGGCAGCCGCCTGCCCCCCAAGCAACAGCCAGCGCGGGCACGTGCCACTGGCGGCCTGGAGCGTATGCAGTGGTTCCCAACATGCCCGAGTTGCTTGTGAGCTGCGTGCATGCTGACAGAACCGTCCGCTGCACGCGTATTGCCGGCGAGCGCGAGGGCCTGGGGGCAGATCCCTTGCAGAGATCAGCACTGGTGAGCGCGATGACTACGTCGAGTCACAACACAAGCATGACTAATGCATTTGCAGGCGCAGTGGTAGGCGCGATGTCGGGAGCAGGCATGCCGGTCATGGCGTAGATTCCAGCAATGCAGCGGGCAAGCCAAAGGGTGTGCCTCCTGCGCGTCCGTTTTCGGGGTTGTTTGGAGGAGGCGCACATAGTAGCAGCGGTAATAGCCACAGCGGTGGCAATGAACGCGGTCTGTCAACGTGGCGGGCGGAGGATTGGATGCAGGAACATCATCAGCCAGAGATGGCTCGGCTGTAATGTCAGCGCCGCCAAGCGTCTTTATCCCGTTAGCAGCACGGCTGTTGGACTCTGTCAATGCTGTGTCATGTGTATATATGCCCGACGAGCTGACGTGTGTATCTGTTGGCGAGAGCGGCACCTGCGCGGTTGTCGGATCAAGCCAGGGAACGGTGTCTATTCTAGGCATGGATTTAGGGGCGGCAATCTATTTGGACCGGGAGCCGATTCAAGTTTTGCTGTCGGCAATGGATCAGTTGTAGCATCATCGCATCTGTACCCTTGATGTTTGCCTCTGGCTGGCCGACCCAATGAACCCCGAAATTGGACATACTAGCATGGCAGCTTATTCGGGAGGCATTGGCATTGGCGGCGCCAACGCGGGAATGGACATATGCCTGCTGGTGCGTTTGGCAGTGGTGGTAACAGCGGGCGTTGTGGAAGATGGAGTCTGCAGCACGTGTTGCATGGGCACGACGCGGCAGTGTTGGATGTGTCTATCAATTCTGACCACGATACAGTAGCTAGCGCTTCGGCCGATGGGACAATGATACTGTGGGCGGCCCGGAGCGGGCAGTACCTGCGCACCCTGATACCAGTGCCAGCTGACGGGGTGTGTGTCGACGACAGCATTCCGGCGATCGCTGGGCAGCTGGAGCGGTATTCCCGAATCGAGCGTGTGCTGGTGAGTTCTGCGGGGCTAGTGCTATGCTACAGCGTCTCTGGATCGGCCAATGTTAGGAGAACAGGGACAAGCTTGATCCGGCACGAGTATCAAGCCAGGACACCAACAGTTGTGCTAGTGCTGGGGTAGTGGCGATGATTCAAGCGATACGAATGCAGCGAGGTCGCGGCATTGCATGTGTACAACCTCAATGGGAGGCACCTGCGCACGCGCAAGCTGGTGCACCATCTTCGCGACATTGCAGTGACAAGGGATGGCCGGTATGGTGCGTGTGTGAGCTCGGACTCCCGCGTAGCGGTGTTCGACTGGCAGACGCTGGGAGTTGTTCGGCAGTTTGAACTTCCGCGTGTGGGTGCTCTGTTGCGTGGAGTGGGGCCAGCGAGCAGCAGTTGATTGTCGGGTGCGAGGGGGCCGTTTGGTGGTCATATCAGCAGATCTCTCGTTCATTCATTGAGGAGCCGAAGCGTTTGTATTTTATATATTTTAAAAAAAATAAACGTGCTTAAATATTTATTCCGATATTCGATTGTTTTCTCGGGTGGTTTCCCTTGGCTTACACGGGTTTTTCGACCTCGTACGCATTCTTTTCCAGCTCCTTATCGAGCTCATACTGGATGCGGTCGAGGTGCGTCGAGTTTATGAAGAGGTGCGTTGAGTCGAGGTCTTCAATGATAAACTTATCGCGGGCGTTGAGGAGGAGGAGAATTTCGCGAGCATCGGGGTCGCATTCGATAAGGATACCCCTGACAGCCCTGACCATGATTGACAGAAAAAAATTGGTGTGTGGGTTGATTGAGTGGTCTAAACAAGTAAAAAAAAAAAGTCAAGGATGGAAGGAAGCACAGGCATTGGTCCTTGATGGCGCGCAGCGAGCTATTTTGGGAAAAAGCATATTGCTGCGGATATTCTGACCAAAATATACACCAAAAAACAGCCAATAAAAGCATTATTTAGTTTAGATTATTTTTCTGATATTCAATACTAAAAAAGCAATGAGTCGACTAAAATGCACCCAGCGAGTTTTCGATGTGGCTGTAAATCGAAAGCAGCGGCGCCTCGGGGCTGATGCGTGCAGCGTGCAGACACTTCTTGAACCTGGCACCATCCACATTTCCATAGACAACCTCTGTTATCCAGTTGGCTGATTATCCCTGTGAATGGTCGGTAAGCATCAATGGTCGCCAGCGGCACATGCAAATAGAAACGCAAGCGGCGGTCTTTGGAGAAAAACTGCATGCGAACTTGGATACCACCATTGTACAAAATTTCGACAAACGTCCGGCGTTTAACGCGCTTCACGTCTTCCAGCAGCTCCTTGATGATCGAGTTGGTCTTCATGACGGATATGGCGTACTGGCGTGTGTTCAGCTTGGTCGAGTCGATGCTGTCGCGGATGATTGCACTCCAATCGATCTCAGGGTGCAGCGATGTAAACTCCGCAGCCGTGTCAAGGTGCACTTTGGAGAACGTGTCGTAGACAAACTCGCACCGGTTCTCGGCGACATCGGCCAGCTGGAGTCCGTTGATGGCCAGCAAAATGTTTTGCACGCCCTTCTTCTCGGTGACCTGGCGGCCAAAGGACGACTTGGTTGCCTTGATTGCCTTGATTTGGCCATTGAGGGCTTCGGCGGCTGCGCCGGCGGCCTCGCGCTCATGCCTGGCCTTGGCGAGCTTGGCTCTGAGCTCCTTTATCTCGCTAGCCAGTCTGCCTGTGTCCTCGCCTGGCGCGTCCTGCGAGCAACGCTGCTTGGCCTTGGCTACGCGCAGGATGAGCTCATCCTTGTACTGCGCTAGCAGCTCGTTCTGCTCTTCAAAGAACAACACCGTCTGGGAAAAGTCTGTGGGGTGGGTATCGGCGGCCTGGCTGACTGCACTGTCGGCTTCAAACAGGCTGGACATGGCTGTGCAATACTCAAGCCGCGCGTTGAGTTTGGCCTTGTGAACAAAGGCTCAAGCTTGGCAGCACATGTGGACAACTGTGCGGCCCGGGCGAAATGGTTGGCAGCCCGCTCTGCTTCTGATATGCCTGGAAGATAGAAAACACGAGCCCAGCCTTGGCCATCTCGACGAGCGAGGGCTGTCCAGGCTTAAGCGGAAATGGCGGCTGCACATGTGCAGGGGTCGGTGGGAGTGGTCCAGCTCAAACACAGGCTCGGCCTTAGGAACCTGCTCAATAAGGCCCTCCTCCTCTGAGGCAGTGGGGTAAGCTGCCGCGACACACTCCTCTTTCTCCTCTTCTTCCTTGGCCAGGGTAGAAAGCGCCTGCGCGACATGGATTTGGCTGGAGCGTCTCCGAGAGCGCGGCAGGCGCTGGCTGGGTGTTTTATTGGCGGCCTTTGAACTCCTGGCCCGGGGGCTGATGGCAGCCAGAGCCTGCGCTGCTGCTGCTGCTTCTGCTGCCCGTGTCTCAGCCGCCGACTGTGTCTTTGTTGCTGCTTGTGCATCTGCCGCCGCCGCCGCCGCCTCTACCATTGCCGCTTCTTCAGCCGCTGCTTGTGCCTCTGTCGCAACTTCCGCCACCGTCTGTGTCTCCGCCGCTGCTTGTGCCTTTGCCATCGTATGTGCCTCAGCTGCCGCCGCAGCTTCGGTCATTTCCACCGCTTCAGTCGCTGCCTGAATTCCTGCTGCCACTGTTGCTTTAGTCATTACAGTTGCTTTAGCCATTATCACTTCTTCAGCCGCTGCCTGTGCTTCTGTCTTTACTAGTCCCGCCTCTGTCAGTTCTGCTACCGGTGCTGCTGCTGCTGCCGCTATGGGAGCGCTGCCGCCGGTGAATAAAATGGTGACTCAGTGGTTGCCGTAAATCGAGAAAAAAGCGCGGCCAAGCCAGCGTCTTTGCCATTGACAGGCGTGATAGGGCTTGGTGTGTCTGGTGCAGCCTGAGAGCGTGGTGCGGTAGGGCGATTCGGGGCAACGTACGGTTTGGCGACTGAGCGTGGCGAGGTGAGCTGTGATGAAATTGGCTCACAGTGTTTGATATGCCTGGGCTGTTGTCTAAAATCGAGCCCATTATGTCCATGAGAGATCCAGATATGGTCGGTTGTTGGCTGAGATAGCCGGGACCAGTCGGCGTTCTGAATGGCGTGCTAGCGTTGTAGTTTCGGAGCGCGTTAGAGGCAGTTTCCTGCTGCAGGACGTGCCCAACTGGCAGCTCTGGGGACTCAGACTCCCTGCCCACAATTCCGGTGAGCTCCATTGTGACAGCATCATCATAGCCGATGCTCTCTTCGTCGTCATCGTCGTTATCATCTTCATCACCAACAACATCATCATTGTCTTCGCCGTTGTCATGACTGTCGTTCTCGTCGACAACGTGGATGGTGTTTTCTATCTCATCGCCATGGTTCTCGTCTCTAGCAGCAGCTACGCGCGTAAAGTCCATATCCATTGTGTTTTGGAAGGTAAGATTCTGGGTGTGGTCCAGGCTCTGAGTTTGTTCTTGGTTAAACAGCGTGCTGATATTCTGGTCGATTAAACTGGGACATGATGTTTTCCAGCAGGCTGGTTTGCTGGGCGTTTGAGCTTTCTTGCAGGAGCATGTTCAAGAAGTTATCTGTGTCGGTTGATCCAGAAAAAACCGGTGGGCGCAACCGGCTGCTGATATTGCTTGTGGGACTGGTTGTTGGGCGATTATCCTCAGTTCCAACATCACCATCTTCGTCATCGTCATCTTCGTCGTTGTCTTCACTGCCGTAGTCGTTGATGGCGCCCATGTCAACGGTACCTGTGAGCTCCATGGTGACAGCAGCGTCATCATCTAGGTCGTTGTCGTCGCTGACATCGCTGTTCTCGTCGTCATCGTCATCGTCATCGCCAAGCATGTTGGCAAGGCTGTTGTTACTGTTGAAAGAGCCGGCACCAGAAGCAGTATGGCAGATTGCTGTTGGGCGGCGTTGTTGAATGAGATATCACTACTGTGTGTAGAGTCGGAGGGATCAGACTGGCGGACAGAAACGTCAAAGCTCTCATTGCTGGTCATGGACACTTCTTCGATGGCGGGTATGGCGCCCAGGTTGAATCCGACAATGCCGGCTTGCGAGGATATGTCGGGCATGGTGAAGGTGTTGATGCCCTGAGGTGTGGCCAAGCGCTTGTCCTCGGGGATATCGAACATGCGCACGTGGGCTGTGCGTGCGAAGCTGACGCGTCTTCCGACGGACTTGCGGCTCTTGCGACGGTCATTGGTGGTGTCTGGGATGCCGATTTCAGGATGGGGCCGTCTTTGAGGATGCTCACAGGCGGCGAGGATCGCCCATTGTTGTTGTTGTTGTTCATGCGGGATAATTCAGCCTTGAAGCGTTTGGACGGAGAGTTATTGTCGTTGTCGTTGTCATTGTCGCTGCCGCTGCCGTCGTTGGTATTGGTCTCGCTCTCGCGACGCGAGAGTTTGGGAGAAATCATGGTTTGGTCAAATTAAAAAAGAATTGATTCGCAGAGCGAAAAATAAAAATAAATAAAACCGATGGGGAAGAAATACCAGTGGTGTAAGATTTAAATGCAAACATTTTTTGAGCCACGAAGCGAAAGCAAGATTTGGATTCGATTGATTGGGATTGTATTTTTTCATTCACAGAGCAGCTCGGCGAGCCGTATGGCTGACAACCCGAGCCACCTTTTTCATTCATTCTTTCTATAAACAGTGTGTGTGTGTGTGTGTGTGTGTGTGTGTGTGTTGTTTGTGCATGCTTGCATTTGTGTGAGTTTTTGTATGCGAAGCGTTGCCAAACCAAAAGGCAATTTAAATTCAAACCTTTTTCAACTTTCAGTTCTGTTTAATTCAACAGGGATTATTCATTTAACTTGATTAATATTTTGTACTTTAGCGCTATTGCATACCTACATTTGAGTGTATTTTTCTTTTTATTATTAAACACACACAAAAAAGCAAAGCTAGGAGCGCGTAAGCTATTCAGATTGAATTTCATAGTAATCATGGGGGAGCATTGGTATTCTGGATTGGAGTTCTTACAGTTGGCATATGCTTTGGGGCACTATTTATGTTCCGGAGCAAGACGGATCCGACTCTGTGGCGGACGTGTACTATTCTTTCGTTTGCAAGTTGCTATTTGATGTGGGGGCTGACGTATTTGGCGCAGTTGCATCCAATTATCGTGCCAAAGCGCGATGATCTGCGGGTGGAGCTGTGAGCAGTGCGGTGTGTACTAGGGTGGACGATCCGTAGGAGGTTTTACTTCTCTCGAATATTGATAATATTTATAATACACAAACTATAAAATTGAGTTTATAAAAAATATATTCCGAAGAAATGCATGTTTGAAAAAAATAACCATAAGATGGGAGGTGGGGAGGGGGGTTGGCGGAGAGGGTAGTGATGACAGCTGATTTCGTTTGTTGGGTTTGTGGGTTTTTTTTTTTGTGACAGAAAACATTTCAAACACATAAAATATTTTCTTATCCAACTCGTTCTCATTCATATAATGGAGGTCATAAACCGGCAGGAGGCGCTGCTTACCAACTACGAGGTGCTGTTGGTTTTGCAGGAGGAGGACGAGCGGCACAAGGCACAGCAGTCATCGGGACAAGGGCGGTATCCAGAGAATGTCACAACGCTAAAGTTCGAGGCTCTGCAGTATCTCAACAACACGGCGTGCACAACGCAATCGGTGGAGCAGATCTCGGAGCTGAAGAGGCAGCTGGAGGAGTATGAGCTGACGAAGGCTGAGATTTTGCAGATCATTAATTTGCGTCCAAAGACGCTGGTTGAGTTTCACTTTATCATCGAGGAGTGTGGTGAGCGGTTCGGCGCGGAGGACCTGGAGCAGCTGGTGGAAATAGTGGCGGCGGCACTGCCGCGCGACGATGAGGAGGGTGAGGATGCGGAGGAGGAGGGGGATGATGAGGGGGCCATGGATGTCGAGGAGAGATAATGGTGAGAAGGGTGAGATTGGGTTGGGGCTGGTGGATGTAGACGGGGCCGCGTGCAAACCCATTATGCCGAGACGGCCAAGTCGGGGGTATTTGAGTTTAGCAGTGAATTTTTCTAAAGAAATCATTTGGGATTGATCTTGCAATTACCAAAAAAAAACAAAAAGGTATCAAATACATTTTTATACACACCCACTGTGTTTTCGATTTAGTTATTGTTATTAGCATGTTTTACGACCTGAACATTGCGCTTCCCGAATCGGCCGGAAGGGCGAACGCGCAGCTGAGTGCAGCGAGTGGGCGCAGGTGGCGCAGGCGATCTCGCAGGCGCGCGACCTGGGGTACGGCGTGGTGGCGGTGAACCAGACGATCCAAGGGCGGCTGACGAGCGAGCACCTGGGCGTGTGGCGCGGCATGCCGGCGATCGCAGGCGCGCAGCTAAGCTGGAGCACGGCGACAGGCAGGCGTATCTCAGACTGGCGGGCCACGGGGCAGGTGGGGCGCGGCAGCATCCGAGTGGTGCGGCGCGTCACGGCGGTGATCAGCGATGCGGCGCACGGGCACAGCCTGTCGTGCAGCGGCAGCGGGTCGGCGGCCGGCGACTACGACATCGTGGCGGTGCGGCCGGTGTCCGAGAAGCTTCTGTACGCGGCCAGCAACGGGTCGTGGGACGGCGTCGACGTCATCTCGCTGGCGATGGGCGCGCGCTGGGGGTTCTTCGCAAAGCACAAGACCGTCGGCCAGGCGCTGGCGCTGGGCATTGCCTTTGAGATTGCATACGATGCGGCGCTGGCAGCCGACGCGGCCGTGCGGCAGCAGTGGGTCAGCAATGCGGCGGCGCTGGTGCGAGTGACGCGCGGCCGCGGAGTGGTGGTGACCAGCGCGGCGCGCCAGGCGTTTGGCCTGCGCTCGCCGTACGACGTTGTCCATTTGGGCGACGCCGTGCAGCTCAACGCGGACCTGACGAAGCGGTGCGTCAGCTCCAATGCGCGCGCGGTGCTGGTGCACGGCTTCACGCGGGTGGCGACGCACCGGGCGGCGGTGTCGGTGGTGCTGAGCTGCGGCGACGGCAACAGCGGTGGCGGTGGCGGTGGCAGTGGCGGTGGCGGTGGCGGTGGCGGTGGCGATGGGCAGCCGGGTGCCAAGCGCGCGCGGACGGACGGCGATGGCGACAGTGCAATGGCGCGGTGAGGGGCCAGGCAATCAAAGATAAATGAAATGGATGATGAATAAATTTAGTGTTAGGCTTAGGCTGCGTGGCAATCGGCGCATGTTATCTGCAAGCCGAGACCCAAAGCGAAAGTGTGAGGAAATGGAGGCGAAGCCCTTTCTTTCTTTCTTTCTTTCTTTCTTTCTTTCTTTCTTTCTTTCACCCACCCACCCACCCACTCACTCACCCACCCACTCACTCACCCACCCACTCACTCACTCACCCAACGTCACCCAGCTTCACGCAACTTCACCTCACCTGGCTTCACCTCACCTGGCTTCACCTCACCTGGCTTCACCTCACCTGGCTTCACCTCACCTGGCTTCACTTCACCTGGCCACACCGCACCGCACCGCACCGCACCGCACCGCACCGCACCGCACCGCACCGCACCGCACCGCACCGCACACCTTCAATCGCCGCACCGCGCACCTTCAAGCGTCGCATCTTTGCAATGGACTACATCGCCGCCGTTGCGGCCGAAACAGGGCTGGCCATCGACAGCGAGGCGCTCGCGCTGGCGCTGGACGCGCGGGACGAGCTGCGCGAGCTGCGCGACGAGTTTAGCATCCCGACAGTGGGCGACATCGCCGGCTCTGGCCCTGGCCCTGGCTCTGGCTCTGGGTCGGACTCCGACTCGGAGTCTGGCTCCAACCACAACCACGTCCACCCCGCCGCCGCCTGCACCTACTTGGCAGGCAACTCGCTCGGGCTCATGCCGCGGCGCGCGCGGCAGCTGGTCGGCGAGGAGCTGGACGAGTGGGCGCGGCGCGGCGTCGTCGGCCACCACCGCCACTCGCACGGGCGCGCGTGGGTCGCGTACCGCGAGCGCGTCGTCGAGCTGATGGCGCCGCTGGTGGGGGCCGGCGCGCGCGAGGTCGGCGTCATGGCGTCGCTGACGTCGGCGCTGCACCTGCTGCTGGCGGCGTTCTACCGGCCGCACGCGCAGCGCACGCGCATCCTGCTCGAGGCGCACGCGTTCCCGTCGGACCACTACGCGGCCGAGTCGCAGGCGCAGTGGCACGGGCTGGGCGCCGGCGCCGTGCTGCTGGCCGAGCCGCGCGCGGGCGAGCTGGTGCTGCGCACCGACGACGTGCTGGCGCTGCTGGCCGAGCGCGGCAGCGAGATCGCCGTGGTGCTGCTCAGCGGCGTGCAGTACTACACGGGCCAGGCCTTCGACATGGCGCGCATCACGGCGGCGGCGCGCGCGGCCGGCTGCGTGGTCGGCTGGGACCTGGCGCACGCGGCCGGCAACGTCGCGCTGCAGCTGCACGCGTGGGGCGCCGACTTTGCGTGCTGGTGCACGTACAAGTACCTCAACGCCGGCCCAGGCGGCGTGGCCGGCTTCTTCGTGCACGAGCGCCATGGCGCCGACCACCCGCGGCTCAAGGGCTGGTGGGGCCACGACGCCGCCACGCGCTTCGACATGACCAACGCCTTCGCGCCGGCCGCCGGCGCCGCCGGCTTCGAGGTCAGCAACACGCCGGTGCTGGCCGCCGCCGCGCTGCTGGGGTCGCTGCAGGTCTTTGCGCGCGCCGGCGGCATGGCGCGGCTGCGCGCAAAGTCCGAGCGGCTGACGGCGCTGCTGGAGCGGCTGCTGCAGCCGGCGCTGGTGCGCGCGCGCATCATCACGCCCTGCGACCCGGCGCAGCGCGGCGCGCAGCTGTCGGTGGTGTTCGACGACGCCGACGCGTTCGCCGCGGTGTTTTCCGCGCTGGCGGCCGCCGGCGTCGTGTGCGACGAGCGCAAGCCCAGCTGCATCCGCATTGCGCCGGCGCCGCTGTACAACAGCTACGCGGACGTGTGGCGGTGCGCAGCGGTGATCGCGGCGGCGATCGCGGCGGCGATCAAAGCGGATCAGCGGTGAGCAAAGGCGAGGGGGCGGGGCTGGGATGGTCGGTGGCGAGTTTAGGGTTATGCGAATCGAGCTGGGGTTGGGGTTGGGGTTGGAGGTGGAGTGGGAGGTGGAGTTGGAGTCACAGTTCCAATTCAATTCCAAATTCAATTCCAATTATAGTTCAAATTCCAATTCAAATCCAAATCCAATCCAAATCCAATCCAATTCCAATCCAATTCCAATTCCAATCCAATTCCAATTCCAATTCCAAATTCCCCTCAACATGAACCAGCAGCTCACAGACCCCGACGAGGACGCCCTCCACGACCTGCTGCGCAACGCCGAAGACTCCGGCGCCGACTACTACGCTGTGCTCAACGTGCCGCGCACGGCGTCGGCCGCAGCCATCAACGACGCGTACAAGCGGCTGAGCCGCGTGTTCCACCCCGACCGCCACACGGCGGCCGAGCAGCGGCAGTGGGCGCAGCGGCACTTCCACGGCATCCAGCGCGCGCACGAGGTTCTGTCGGACGACGCGACGCGCGCGGCGTACGACGCGCTGGGCGAGGCCGGCGTGCCGATCGCGCGCGCCGTCGGCCACAAGGTGCAGTCGGCGCGCGACCTGCACGCGCACTTTGAGCGCGAGGCGCGGCGGCGGCGCACCGAGGACATCGAGCAGTGGGTGCAGTCGAAGTCCGAAGCCGCGCCCGTCGTGCGCTTCACGCGCGGCCGCGCCGCCGTCGAGTCGCTGGCCGTGTCGCACTCGTTCACCTCGACGCTGTCCGAGTCGACCGCGCTGGTCGTCGCCGCCAACATGTTTGCGCGCCAGGGCCGCGGCTCGGGCAACGTCGTCGCCACGCTGCGCCGCGCGCTGGGCACCGCGTCCCCATCGGCGGCGGCAGCCGGCGGCGGCTCGTGGGTGTCCGTCAGCGCGCCGGCGCTGCCGCCGTACGCCGCCACGGTCGACGCCGTCCACCAGCTGCCGCACGGCGCCTTTGCCACCACGCGCGTCGCGCTGCGCCCGCGCAGCGCGCCCGCCGCCACTGTGACGCTGGGCCGCGCGCTGACGCCCACGACCGTCGGCGCGCTGACCGTGCGCACCGGCAGCCAGTACGCGGCGCCGCTCCCAGGCCGCGAGCCCAGCGGCGTGGCGCTGTCGCTGCAGGGCTCGCGCGGCGCGCGCACCGACTACGCCGTCGAGGTCGCGGCCGCGCGCGCCCAGTCGCACGCCAGCGTCCGCTGCACGCGCCGCGTCGACGCGCACTTTGCGCTGACGGCCGGCGTCACGGCCGTCACGACGCCGCGCGGGCTGGCCGACGTGTCGGCGTCGGTCGGGCTGCGCGCCGACGCCAGCGCGTGGACGCGCGTCGGCTGGCGCGTCGACTTTGGGCTGGCGGCCGGCGTGACGGCGACGCTGTCGGTGCGGCGGCTGGGCCACCGGCTGCGGCTGCCGCTGCTGCTGACGCCTGCGCTGGACATGGCCGTGGTGCTGGCCGCCGCCGCCGCGCCCATCGTTGCCGCGCTCGCGCTGCACTTGGCCGTGCTGGCGCCGCGCCGCCGCCGCCTGGTGCGGCAGCAGATCGCCGACCTGCGCGACGAGCAGCGCGCGCAGCTGCACCGCCAGCGCCGCCACGCCGAGGAGGCCGCGCGGCTGATGGCGCCGCACGCCGAGCGGGCGCGCGCACAGGCCCGCGCGGCCGGCGGCCTGGTCATCGAGCGCGCGCTGTACGGCGACCTGCCCTTTGCGCTGCCGGCCGAGAACTGCAACGCCGCCGCCGCTGCGGTCGACGGGGCTGCGCAGTCGGCTGCTGCGCTGCTGTACGCTGACGAGCCGCGCGCCTGCGACGTCACGCTGCCGCTGGCTGCGCTGGTGGCCGGCGACCAGCTGGTCGTGGCGGGCGGCGCCAGCAAGCGCTTCCTGCCGGGCTTCTACGACCCGGCCTTTGGTGCGCCCAAGGCGCTGTTTGTGCGCTACCTGTTCCGCGGCGCCGTGCACGAGGCCGTTGTGCGCGACGACGAGGCCCTGGCCATCCCGATGCAGGCGCATGCACTGGAGGGCTGAGCCTGAAAGAGACCAAGATCTAAAATTCACTTTTCCCCTTCTCTTTGTACAATTTGACCCCTTTTCAATTCGATTCATTCCAATTCACTCCGCTTCGATTCATTCCAATTCACTCCGCTTCGATTCATTCCAATTCACTCCAATTCACTCCAATTCACTCCAATTCACTTCAGCCCAGTTCACTCCAATTCACTTCAGCCCAGTTCAATTCAGCCTAGCTCAATCCAGCCCAGTTCAATTCAGCCTAGCTCAATCCAGCCCAGTTCATTTCATTTCAGCCCAGTTCAATTCACCACATGCTCGGCGCGCCCTCCCGCCCCCTGCGCCGCGCCTTCTCCGCCTACACCACGTCCGCGCCCGCGTCCTCCCTCAAGTCGCACTACGACGAGACGCTGGTCTACAAGTATGCGTCGCAGAAAATCAACCCCGTCAGCATCGGCCAGCTGCTCAAGCACCGGCGGCTGCCGCTGTCGCGCGCCAACATCCTGGACTCCGCCGCGTACACCCAGGCCGAGCTGCCAGTGCGGCTGGCCAAGCGCGTCATCTCGTTCCACAACCTGCCGTTCATCGTCGGCACCAACCCACACATTGCGCGCGTCTACGCCCAGTACTACGAGGCCTTTGACCGCCTGCACGCCTTTGCGCCCATTGCCGACCCAGACGCCGAGTGGGAGTTTACGCGTGCGCTGGAGCGCCAGACCCATGTGCTGGCCGACGTTATCCCGACCATCGCGCAGGGCTTCCTCGAGTGCAAGCAGTATATGGCGCGCGAGGCCCGCACGGCCTTCATCAGCGACCTGATCCGCTCGCGCATCGGCCTGCGCGTCATCGGCGAGCACCACGTCGCATTATCATATCAGTTCCGCGCCGACCACGAGCTGCAGAAGAAAAGGAAGCCCACAGACAATAAGAACGACGACGACGACGACGACGACGACCGTCACTGGGTCGGCGCCATCCATACGCGCCTGCTGCCTGCGCGCATGATGGACCAGTGTGCGCGCATGGTGCAGAACATGTGCGACATCCACTACGGCACTGCCCCGGCCTTTGTCATCGACGGCGACACCCACGAGGCCTTCAGCTACATTCCGTCGCACTTTGAGTACATCACGTGCGAGCTGCTTAAGAACGCCTTCCGCGCCACCGTCGACTTTTCCGCACAGACCCAGCGCTCGGCCCACCCGCCCATCCAGATTACAATCACAAAGGGCGCCGGATACATTGGCGTGCGCATCCGCGACCAAGGCGGGGGAATATCAAAGGACAACCTGCGCAATATCTTTGAGTACTCGTGGTCATCCATGCAGTCTGCCGACGACGAGGACTCGTCCTCATCCTCGTCCTCGTCCTCGTCCTCGTCCTCTTCTGTCATGTCTATGCAGGCAAATATTGCCCTGCAGCAGGGCGTTGGCGGCCCCATTGCTGGACTTGGCTTTGGTCTGCCCATGGCGCGCCTCTATGCGACCTACTTTGGTGGATCACTCGATATTGTTTCCATGGAGAGGTTCGGCTGCGACGTCTTCCTCAAGCTGCGCAGCATCGAGGGAAGCGCAGTGGACAAGAAGATCTGACAAAATTATTTGACCTACCTGTACATCCTTTTTAAATATATGTAGCCTTCTGAAATTAGTGGACTGCGCACGTGCATAACAATCAGAGTAATGATGAAAATTTCTTATTCCAACTTATTTATATGCCAAGCACGTATAGATCATTCATTCATTAATTATATCATTTTGTAACATATGAAACAAGTAAAAAGACACAAATTAAAGTTGATGATCAAGTCTGATTGTCTACCTTGCCCACCATGGGCTCTTCTATTGCAGAACCTTGGTACATGCCCCTATAACGAAAAATTATTCTAGGGGCAGCATGGTTGAGAGATATCCAGGCCTGGGTCTAATTGCCCGGCTGATGGGCGCGGTGAGCCCGCAACAACGGGTGCTGACAAGCTCCCATTTCTTCGCAATTCATCCGATTGAGCATGCAGTATTTTTTTGATGCCGCTTTGCGATCGACCAAACTTGAAAGAGGAAGAAGAAAAAAATTCATATTAACATTGCTTCTCTCTTCTCTCTTCATTTTCATTTTCATTTTCACCTTCTCATTATACTCTCACACATAGTCTCCTTTATTTAGAAACTATGGCAGAACAGGTGCTTATTCGCCAGGGCGCTGAGGCCCGGGTGTACAAGACCGAGCTATCCGGCAGAGCAGTTATCGCCAAGCAGCGCTTTTCAAAAAAGTACCGCCACCCTGACTTGGACCGCAAGCTGACTCGCGGGCGTCTCAACCAGGAGGCACGGAGTCTCAAGCGGTGCTTGGAGCACAATATCCGTGTGCCCGAGATCATCCGCGTGGACAAGGACACAGCGACGCTGTACATGGAGTACGTCGCAGGCCCGACTCTCAAGGAGTGGATATTTGACAATAGCAATGAGCAAGAGGAGAGGCAGTTGATGACGGTTGTTGGAATGATTCTGTTCAAGATGCACTCCAACAACATTATCCACGGCGACTTGACGACCTCTAATATTATCATTGACGACCAGGGCGAGATGGTGCTTATTGACTTTGGGTTGAGCCAGATTTCTGTCAGTGCTGAGGACAAGGCAGTTGATCTGTATGTCCTTGAGCGTGCCTTCATCAGCACCCACCCCAACTCGGAGCGACTCTTTGCGTCGGTGCTAGAGGCATATGGCGCTGAGGACTCTGCGGCCGAGCCGATCTTGAGGCGGTTGGAGGACGTGCGTCAGCGCGGTCGCAAGCGCGACATGTCGGGATGAATGGAGAGGAACTGCATTTAAATGCCAAGGCTGGCTTTTTTTTTGGTGCGGGGGACTACGATCAGATCACACCACATTTCAGTGCTATTATTGCTCCCCCACTCCTGATCCTGTCAATGGGTGCCACACAAAAAAATTAGGTGTGGTTTTTCTTGCCCAACAATTTGAACGCTTCCATTTGCTTGTCTTTTCTTCTTCCATTTTTTTTATTCAATTTTTTAGAACTCGCTTTATACTCGCTAACGATTCAGTTTGTAACCATGGCAAGCAGTGGAAACACAAACATTCCCTCAGTCGACGCGGCAAGCAGCACATTTATGGTGCAGTACAGCCAGTTCGAGGCCGCGCACAAGCAGCAGCTCGAGTCCCTGGGCCTGCCCAAGCACCTGTGGCAGGTGCTGTACAATAAGCTTGCTGCCGAGAAATTCGACATTGGCCAGCATGTGATCTTTGGCGATGACAACGCGCGCACCAACACTGAGGCCAGCGAGGGCAGAACCGGTAGTTTGACCGACCATACGCTCGTCCTGGGCCAGGGAAACCTGGACGCATTGAGCGACGTGTTTTTGATCGACCACGCGTGGACGACCACCATCGACCAAGCGATCAGTGAGCTTGAGACTGTTCCCGGCCTGTTGGATCGCATGGAGGCCCTGACGGGCGTGTTTGAGCCCCAGGAGAAGGTTCTCGCTATGCCCAACACGGAGTCGTTTGACTCTGCGATGGAGGTCAACGTACCCGTTGTGGTGTCGCAGACTGGCGTCAGCGAAGAGAAGGCCCGGGAGCTACTGAAAAAGACCGGAGGTGACATTATTGAGGCCATCATTGCTGGAAACGAAAAGCCTGGAGAAGCCAACAGTGGGCAGCAGTCGATCCAGGACCAGATCAAAAGACAGCTTGGCGGTGGCGACGATGATGATGACGACGAAGGCGCAAGCAAGCCCACTGAATGGAGAACGCGCAAGTACAACTGCTCGCAGTACATGCTCGATCCCAGCAGCGGCAAGCTTGACGGCATTGACATCCGAGTTCCCGTGGGCCCCTCTGTCTCTGCCAGCGATATCAAATGCACGTTTGCGCCACGCCACCTCAAGGTCACCGTTGGCGGCAACGAGGTACTTGGCGGTGACCTGCACGCCGCTACTTCTGTCGATGAGGCTACGTGGACCGTTGAAGGCGGCATGCTCGTCGTGTCTCTGGTGAAGGAGGCCGCCGGGTACTGGCCCGAGGCCCTTGTGGGCGAGACGCACATCAACCCATTTGTGCACAGGAAGCACCTGCTGCGCGTGTTCAGCGATCTATGGCATTACTTCCAGGGATATGATTTTCTTGCTCAAAATGCAGACCAGTCGATTGTCAAGCGCACCAACTGGTACATCCAGGACGAGGTCGGTCTGTCGATCAGCCACAGCAGCGACCCGAACGTCCGCTGCCTCCCACTCCTTTACCTTGACCCGCACGGCCAGATGACACCGTTCAGCATCATGTGGCCGATCAAGACGATCCAGGAGAGCGAGGCCCTTACGCGCGACTACTGCCCCCCGTGGCTCAAGGACGCCAACCAGCGCCAGGGATACCTGCAGGCTATTTTCCCAGAGCCCACGCAGTTTGCGCTTGACGCGTTCGAGCGCATGCGCGAGAGCTTGGTGGAGACCGCCAAGAACGCAGTCAGAGCCAACCTTGCCAGCCTCCCGGTTCCCAAGCACCAGATCAAGAATGTGTTTGTGCAGGGCGCCTCGCCAGACGCTGAGAAGGCCATCAAGGAAGCCGGCCTGGTGCTGGTGGAGAGTGCGGATGACGCTGACGTTGTTTTTGATGACGTCCCCCACAGCAGCAAGCAGAGCAACCAGCACCCGCTGAACAGCGTCTTCTTCTCGACCGAAAACACAATCATAGCCTTCCAGGGTATTATCGGCATGCAGAGCTGGCTGCGCCCTGGGTACCACTTGAAGAGCCAGATCTGCGAGTTTATCGGCGCGGCGCTGATGGACGGCAACAGCTGGTGGCTGCTGACCAACGACCAGGCCATTCCAAACGTGCGCTCGCAAAAGATCATCACCAACAACTGGGCCACGGCCGTGCGCCACGTCGACGTCGGCTACACGTCCGCCCTGAGGTGCACCCCGTCGGCGATCTCTGCTGACCAGCTCCACGCGGCCGAAAAGATTGTGCTGCTGACTCCCGACAACGGCCTGTACGTGTGGGCGAAAAACACTTGGCTCTATGCGACCCCCATCCAGCAGCGCGACAACAAGCCCGAGCCGTACCAAATCGAGGCTGAAGAATCGGAGATTTCAGAGTCCGCATTTGCGCACTACCTTGACACGAAGCTCGGGCCGGGCACATTTGGCCAGTTTGGCCAGGAGATGGAGGACATCATCGCCGACATTATCCGTATGATGTTGAGCATTGATTCGAGCGACGGCTGCAACTTTGGTGTCTTTAGCTTCCGCTTTGCGTTCACAGCGAGCGAAGACACTGGAGCGCTCAAGCCGTGCGTGCAGCAGATCACACCCGTGTCTGTGGGCGAGAGGCTGGCCCTGGACAAGGCTTTTGTCCCGGCCATCGCCGCTGTGCTCGCCGGAAACCCAGATGCCGGGCTCTGGCGGCAGATCAAGCCAGAGTAGGCGCAATAGAAAATTTTAAAAACAAAAAGCTCGTGTGATTTAGATAAAAATAAAAGTATATAGCTACTATGCCTGCTCATCGTGGACAAAAAGCTGGCTCACAGACTCGCCGTAGAACGTGCGTCTGATGATCTCGCCGAGCATCGGTGCAATGTCGATGGTCTTGAGCTTGGGGCACTTGTTCCTGAACTCCTCCTGCGGGACAGTGTTTGTGCAGGCGACGGCCGTCACTGGAGACCTGTTGATAATCTCCAAAGCAGGGCCCGAGAATACTCCATGCACGGCAATTGCGTAGATCTCAGTTGCGCCATGGCGCTTGAGAATCTCCGACGCCAGGCCGATGGTGCTTCCGCTGTCAATCATGTCGTCGAGGATGATGGTCGGGCGGCCCTGCACCTCGCCAACAAGCCCCATGCTCTCCTTGGTGTTTGCCAAATCCTCCTTGTGGATGAGCGCAAAGTCCAGATTAAGCTTGTTGCAGATCGACGTCGCGCGCTTTGCGCCGCCGGCGTCCGGAGACACAACCACAGCCTGCCGCCAGTTGGGGATTTCGCTGCGGATCCACTGGATGATGCACGGCTCGGCGTAGATCAGGTCGACCGGGATCTGGAAAAAGCCCTGGTACTGCGGGTCGTGCAGGTCCATTGCAATGAGGTGGTCGGCGCCCGCAGCCTGCAGCAGGTTGGCGACCAGCGTGCCGGCGCGAGCGCACCACTGACGGTATCCGCTCTCGCCCATGCTCATGCCCATGAAGCTCTGGGCAAACGAGCCCTGGGGCAATGATGGGCTGGACCCGCTGTGCTGCGTCAGCGAGTTCATAATCTCAGAGCCAATCTGGTGCTGTGGAAGGCGCTTCCTCTGCGACTTCTCTGACTGCCGTGAGTAGGGGAACAGCGGGGTGACCACCGTGATGCGCTTGGCGCTACCCATGCGGCACGCCTGAATGAGAATAAACAGCTCAATGACGTTGTCATTGACGCGCCCACAGCCGCTCTGGATGATATATACATGCTTCTCACGCACCGACGACTTGATTTCGACATTGGTCTCCTGATTCGAAAACTTGCCCAGCGTGCACGATGACAGCTCCACGCCGAGGCACTCGCTGATCTTCTTGGCCAGCTGCGGGTGCGATGAGCCGTTCAGCAGAACAATGTTTTTCATTTTACAGTGTTGAGAATTTCAAAATTGAGGATTGGAAGGACACGAACAACCAAAAGGCTATTTTTAAATATAAAAAAACTGATCAAGCTCTTCTCCCACGCCATTTTTTTGCAGCTGTCTGATGTAAATTTTTGTGACAATCTGCTGAAATCTCAGCGAACGAAAGTTGCACGTGCTAACCATCTTTTTTTTTGGCTAGCAATTTTTGATCTGTGAATTAGAGTAAATCGAGGCGGATCAAAGGCGTGCATTTTTCACACCCAAGTAAGATAATGGAAATGCGCACTGCTAAAAAAAACCCCTCAGGCTTTTTCAATTTCTCAATTTCTCAATCGCAACTTTATTATTTTCCCACTCTTTAATAATCGGTTCCAGCCTCAAAAATTTGCATATTGCCTGGCATCGAGACAATGAGCAACACCCTTTCCCTATTTACCCGTGTTCTCCGGACAAGCAGCGCGTGCCTGCAACAGACAGCAGCAATGAGCTCGGCAGCAGCCAGAAAGTCGCTGGGAACCAACGTGCACTACACAGAAAAGCTCGATGACGGCAGCATCTTTGTGTCGCGCGTCCCCAAGACGATGCCAGAGATCAGCCTGGCGGACCTCCCTCCGCCCGTGCGCGAGTACAAGCCGGCGACAAGGAAGCCATTGACAGACGAGCTGAAGCATGCGATGTTCAAGCTGCGCAACGAGGATCCGGCGCACTGGACTGTGTCAAAGCTGGCGAAGAAGTTTGAGGTCCCCGCGCAGGTCGTGCTGATGCTTGCCCCGGCCCCCAAGTCGAGGAGGGAGGCTATCCAGCGCCAGGCTGACAAGGAGTGGGAGAAGATGGGCTACAAGAAGCGCTTGATCAGACTCAACCGGTTGCGTCGCCGCCTGATGTGGTAGATTTACGGGCTTGGCATTTGGCATAGCTTCAGAACCAGACTTTTAAATAAAGTATACAAACTTGGTGTTCCATTCACATTGTCTCTTTTAGAGCCACTTTCCAGAGACACAGCCGAACACAGCAAAATGAGGTGGTTCTTTGAACTGACTCAAGCAGATCAGCCAATCAACTGATCTGATCACGACACATGTCTTGATCAAACATAAGCGCAATCCGCCTTTGTGCACTCCATGCTCCCAGATCATACTCGCACAAAATGGGAGGAGTAGCACAATGCGGCAACTCGGCACGTGAGCCTTCTCTGGGCTGGGTTTCCAATACGGGGTATGTGTTTTTCCCTTGCTTTGCAACTTTGTCCGATATTCTCGTCGAAAGATGTTTCTACGTGAGCTGCAGATGCGCTAGAAGTAGCCTTTTTATAAAAAAAGATCCAGCTGCGCATTGTTTGCAATGACCATTAAGAGCAAAAGCAAGAGCCTCAGGCAAGAATTTTTACTAGGCTATTGCCAGGCCGCTGTGGCTCTAAACAACCTGTTGCATTTGCTATCAGCATTTCTCAATTACTGTCTAGATGACAGCGAAAGTGTAAATTGGAGGGTGAAACAACATAAAAACGATTGTACTGTATATTGTTTTATTTCTTGTACATAGTGTGAATACTTTTTTGAATCATTGTGTTTATTTATTGCACGAACGACCAAATGCAATAGTGGCAGCACTCGTTAAATTATAAAACGCCTTTGCCATTGCGTTGGTGATAATTATTTGTTATTGCAAAATTCTCAAACAAAATGACGCCAGAAATGTACGGAATGCGCTTTATTAATATTCCTCAAATAGGACAGACAGTAAAGCGGTGCAAACAATTTCCACGTCGAGTATTTGGAATTACAAAAAACACGAATAAAGACATTTGGTTGGCAGCGGCATTGGCGCAAATATCCTTGAAAAGAAATTGCGTTGGACCACCCGTGGGAAAGAAGGGGCTCGTGCGCGCGCCGCTGCCAGCTGCCGAGTTGCGCGCCAGTTCTCAGCTGACGGCTAGAGATTAATGTGACACCTTCTTTTGGACATGCACCAACCCCTCCCTCTCCTTGTTTCTAGGAAATGCGCATAATGTACTGGGAAATTTTAGCGCAAACGTGTGAGCACAGGCCATTGCAACTTCCACAAACCAAGTTCCTTGTTTGTGATTGCTTTTCTCCGCGCAGAAAGGCATTTTGGGGAGGCAGAGCGCCGAGAAGAACGAAGGCGCAAAGAAAGGCAGATGTTGCAAATTTTACACACCCAAATGAGGCAATCCAAGCAGCGAATTTGCATAGACATTAAACCTTGTATTTCACCTTTGCCGCTTGCTGCCTATGCTGCCAACATCAAAACAAAGACCCAACAAACTTTTACCGCCACTTTCGCACGCAAAAAGCGCTTCCAAATGGCCATGGCACGTGCGTGGAAGTATGAGTGCCCAATGGAATTGCGAAAAATGCATGGGCCAGCTGCCAGCTGCCAGCGCTCCCATTTCCGCACACCCCTTTGTGCAGCTCCCGGCGGCAGATGCCCAAATTAAGCCCGCAATCGCGCTTTTAAATTGCTTTATTGATGCGAAAAATGCAGCGCACCGACCACCTTTTCTCCGCCCATCGCGTCAACATGTGGCAAAGTGATTAGTTGTGACAGCCAGCAACAGCAACAGCAACAGCAACAGCAGCAGCGAACAAACGACTCAGCACTGCTCGCGGATTGCAACTACTGACCAACTCAGCCCATTGTTCTACTGCGTTTGCGCTCGACACAAAGGCTGCCCGTGCTGCGTCTGTATACTTTTATTGCCTATTTTTTGGCTCGGTGAACGAAGACATTTGCGAATTGCGCTGAGCGGACTGAGGGCCGCCATTTTCCGCTGCCTCCTGGAAGAGCAGGAAATTTTGCTCAAACGCAGCGATTGCTTTTTCGGACTAGGTGGCGGGTGGATCTGCAGATATCATGTTTGACAGTGCACACCGACAAGGCAAGAGCAAATGAGCAGTGATCCACAATGGCCAGGCATCCTGCATTCTATTTGCTTCTGTTTGGTGCTCTGTGCACAGACCAGCAGATTGGCGGCTGGCATGTTTTATTTTCTCAGGGAACTCGAAACAAATTCAGCTTTTCCCCGCGCCAGTTGATGTTTTTGCTTAGGCAAATGCTAATTTAGTTTGAAAGGCTGCATCCAAAAAAAGAATTTCTCCGACTACATACCCCCCTCCCTTCTCTGGCGGGTTGATCTACCCACCCCCCTTATTTTATTTTTGAATTTCTGAATGCACTTCCACTCACAATTCTCAATTCACCTGCCAGAGCCACACCAGCAGCAGCAGAGCTATTGGCCAGCACTGCTTGAGGCCAGGGTTTGCTTCCCAGGTGGTGGTAAAACATTTATTTTTATTTTTCATTCTCAGCAACGCTGGCTGGCATCATACAGGCCAGTTACCACAAGGCCGCCGCCCCTCTTCCCCCTGTTTACTTTTCTTTGCCGACATCTTGCCTTGTCTGTGTGCGAGCGGGTTTTCTGATGTTGCCATTGCTTTTGCCATTGCTGCTGCGAACGACAAATAAATATGTAAATTGTATAAAAAAGGCACCTCTCCGGCCCATCCTCCAACTTTTCAAAGCATACCTTGTTTATACGCAAACAACCATTACTACCACCACATTTATTTTTAATTTTATACTTCTATCACACATACCCATATCACAGCTAGCCATGACCACCTCTGAATTTTCGGCTGCCATTAACCACAGCGGCTACACCGACAATGTGTACTCGGGCAAGCAAGAGCACCGCGTCCAGGTCTGCGGCATCCTTGAGAAAGAGGGCGAGATTCCCAGCCACGCCATTGAGGGCGAGGTTGCCTGGTTCTACGACGTCCTGGGCCTCGATGATATGTACTTCATGCGTGAGGAGCCTAGCACTGTCGCCGAGCACATCACGGCGATATACGGCTCCGAGCTGTCCAGCAACAAGATGGGCAAATCGATCAGCGTCTCCCTCGCTACCCGCCACGAGAACAGCGCCATGTTCATTCACAATTCGACACCCGGCATTTCCAAGACTGACGGCGACAATTTCGAAAAGATGTAAGTTTCTATATTCATTTATTTCTCGCATCCGCCGGGTACTTTTATTTTTTACCCACAATCTGCCTTGCTTGCCATGGTTTGCAAAGCGCAAATATCAAATGCACACGCACACTATAAATCGTTGCTATCGTTGCAGATCAAACCGCGCGACACGCAACCGCGATACTACAATATGTGGTAGTGCGCCATGCCTGAGTAGTAATATTTTTCATTGCATAATATCCGTTGGCAACAAAAACATGCACGCGATACATTTATTACATTGTTCCGGCTGCGTGGGGGAAGTAAGATTTAGAAAAAACAACTTGCTGATTTGGGCGATTGGCTACGATGCGTCAGAGATTTCGCATTTCACGCTTCTGCATAATCACATTTTGCTTATCGGCTGCCATCAAGTACCATGCTTTGTCATTAATAATCCGCAAGTGACGGTTTATCAGCCTCATATGCAGTAGCAGTTTTCTTATTTAGCATTTGATCTTGTTATCTCTCTGCCCATCGCCGCAGCACTTCAGGGCTGCCCTCAATGCTTGGGGAGCGATGGTGGCGGCAGTTGCCTGTATGTGTCTCTCGCCCCATTTTGTCCGATCCCAACTATCACTCCACATACACACAGTATTCTTGCTTATCACTAACCATGATCACCATCATAAAATTTACTCAATCTTTTTTGTAGGATTGACACCGAGTACCTGGATATCAGCGTGGCCGAGAAGGCATACCGCGTTGAGTCATACCGCTCGCGTGGCAAGGTCTCCAAGAGCCTCGACGCGTCGCTGCGTACGTACTTTGTCAACGCCTGCGAGTTCGTCAACCCCGACCCACAGGGCGACGCCGTCAACGACATCAACCAAGTGTCTGACCGCACCTTTTTGGCCAAGGCCACGCCCAGTGTGCTCGATCTGTACGGCAGCGTGGTCTCCAAGGTTCTCACCCGCACCGGTCCGGTCATCGTCTCGGACGAGCTGCCCAGCGGCGAACACCGCATTGTCATCGGCTACCGCCAGCGCAGCACACAGGGCTACTTCTCAGCGCTGTCCGACCTGTACCACTACTACAGCATGTACTCGTCGCGCAAGTACGTCGAGCAGTTCTCCAACGGCGTGACTGTCATCAGCCTGTACCTCGACCTGGCCTCCCACGCCAAGCGCCTGGCTGCGAGCTCGGGCCCCAGCTCGGGCACCAACACCAGCAGCGCATCGCCCGTGCTCAGCCCCGCAACCTCGCCGACGTCAATCGAGGACAACGTCAACCAGATCAAGAAGGAAGCCAGTCTGCTGTTCTGCATCCCCAACACACCGTTCCAGAACCTGTTCAAGACCGGCGAGCTGTCCGTGCAGGAGACCGTGTATGGCTACACCGTGTGGATCTTCGCCCAGCACTTCCTCAACCGCCTGGGCAACGAGTACGCAACGCTCGTTGAGATCCTCAACCCGACTGACGCGACCGCCGTTGAGGTGCTCGCCAAGCTCAAGAAGCGCCTACGCCAGGAGACTTTCACACGCGAGCTGATACTCGACATCCTGTTGCGCCACCGCGAGCTGCTCAAGGACCTGTACGCCCACTTTGCACAGGTGCACCATATTAACACCGCGTCGCCCACCACCAGCGCCAAGCGCCTGGTCAGCGAGTTGAATAACGATCTGCACGTGTCACTGTCAGCTCAGCGGCTACAGGACACCGTGCCCCTGAGCACCGAGGACCTGCGCGTCAAGATCGCACGCGTCACGACTAACGAGCATGACGCAATGGTGATGCGCGCGCTGCTCGACTTCAACGAGAATGTGCTCAAGACCAACTTTTACCAGCCAACCAAGGTTGCGCTCTCGTTCCGCATGGACCCGAGCTTCCTGCCGGCAATCGAGTACCCTGTCAAGCCTTACGGCCTGTTCCTGGTCATCGGTAACGAGTTCCGCGGCTTCCACGTGCGCTTCCAGGATGTCGCCCGTGGCGGAATCCGCATTGTACGCTCGCGCAACGCCGAGGCGTTTTCGATCAACCAGCGCACGTTGTTTGACGAGAACTACTCGCTGGCGTCGACGCAGCACCGCAAGAACAAAGACATCCCTGAGGGCGGCTCCAAGGGCACGATCCTGCTTGGCATCGAGTCCCAGGACAAGGCGTTTATTGCCTTTGAGAAGTACGTCGACGCCATGCTCGATCTTCTGCTGGTTGGCCAGTCGCCGGGCATCAAGAACCGCCTGGTCGACCGCCTCGGCCGCGACGAGATCCTGTTCTTTGGCCCCGATGAGGGCACTGCCGGCTACATGGACTGGGCTAGCCAGCACGCTCGCAAGCGCGGCGCTCCATTCTGGAAGGCCTTCACCACAGGCAAGAGCCAGACCCTGGGCGGTATCCCCCACGACACGTACGGCATGACCACGCGCTCCGTGCACCAGTACGTCCTGGGCATCATTCGCCAGTTGAACCTCGACGAGTCTGCGTGCACCAAACTGCAGACCGGCGGCCCCGACGGCGACCTGGGCTCCAACGAGATCAAGATCAGCAACGACCGCACCACTGCCGTTGTCGACGGCAGCGGTGTGCTCTACGATCCCCACGGCATTAACCGCGAGGAGCTCACGCGCCTGGCTCTGGCGCGCCAGATGATCCAGCACTTTGACACCTCCAAACTCAGCCCCGAGGGTTTCCGCGTGCTGGTTGACGACTTCCAGGTGACTTTGCCCAACGGCACGCTCGTCCAGGATGGTCTGTCGTTCCGCAACGTTTTCCACCTTAACAAGTTGGCTGCCGCCGACTTCTTTGTCCCCTGCGGTGGCCGTCCCGAGTCCATCGACATTAACAACATCGGCTTGCTGTTTGATGCCGAGGGCACTCCTCGCTTCAAGTACGTCGTCGAGGGCGCCAACCTCTTCTTCACGCAGGATGCGCGCCTGCGCCTGGAGAAGGCCGGAGTGCACCTGTTCAAGGACGCCTCAGCCAACAAGGGCGGTGTCACTTCGTCGTCGCTCGAAGTCCTCGCCGCGCTGTCCTTCACGGACGCCGAGTTCGGCCGCCTGATGTGCAAGCAGGCCGATGGCACTCTGCCCTCCTTCTACCAGGAGTACGTCTCGGATGTGCAAAAGTTTATCGAGGCCAACGCCGCACGCGAGTTTGAGTGCCTCTGGAACGAGTCCAAGCGCACGGGTAAGCCCAAGAGCATACTCTCAGATGAGCTGTCGGTTGCCATTGTCGAGCTCCGCAAGAGCCTTGAGAGCACCGACCTGTGGAACAACATTGCCCTTCGCCGCCTCATTATGCAGGAGGCCCTGCCGGCCCGTCTGCTCAAGGAGCTTGGGCTTGACACCGTCCTCGAGCGCGTCCCCCTGAACTACCTCAAGGCTATCTTTGGTGCCTACCTCGCGTCGCACTTTGTTTACGAGTACGGCACCGACCCGAGCCAGTTTTCCTTCTTTGAGTTTATGTCAAAGCACACCACCAAGGCTGAGGCTGCCAACTGAGCGTCATTTCAATAATTTTCAGCATCAGCTTTTTCCCCTTTCAAAATATCCTCGATTAATCATTAAATACACATCTTTGTCCATTTTTAAAGTGTATATTTCTACCGCGCTTTCAAATACATGTACAAGAAGACAAACACGGCAATGGCAAATATTGTCAGGTAGAAAAATGGCCCGCACCCTTGCCGCGCCAACATGTCGTTGAAGTGCCTCATTGTGGCCTTGAGCCGCCCGCCCATGCTCTCCATGTCATCGCCCACAGTTGTCAAAAACTGGTTTTGGTCGCGTATCTCGTCGCCAATACTTATGCTCACCTCCTTAAGCATTATTATCTTGTTCTTCAGCCGCGAGTCCTTGCCGTTGGGGTCGTTCTCCTGCTCATACTGCTGGAATGGGTTGGGTGTGTTTGGATAGCCGCCGTTGCCGCCTGTGTGGTGTCGCAACCTATTGCTGTTTGCGCCATGCGCGCTGTATGCTGACATTGGAAGTGCAATTAGATGGAAAAAAGGTAGTAGAAGAGAGCGAATGCAAAATAAAATAGTTAAGAAAAAAGAAAAGGACGCGAAATTTAAATTAGCTGAAACGCTTTGCCTACACTGCCTTTTGCAGATGACGGTGCCATTGCACACAAGCACTGCACGTGATGGCCATATTGCCAGCTCCCATTGGCTGCCTTGATTGAGCGCTAGTTTATTCATCACTGTATGTGTAGGACTGAAGGCACGAGCGCATAATCGTTTAAAGCCTGAATCAGTTGTAAATATGCTGTAACAAACCCCCGAACTGCAGTGTAACCTTTACATTTTATTAAAAGGTAAAGTGAATTTCCTGCCTCTGGCAAAAAGTGTTAACAAAGTGCAATCATTTGGCAGAAACTCAGCAGCAAGCAACCGGGTGCAAAACCAAAGAGGCAACACTGCTGCAGCTACTCATCCCTGTAGGCAGCGCACGGATGTATTTATCTATATATAATGCAATTATATCTGTCAGTTGTTCGTTTGATAAAGCCTGTCCTGTATTAAACAAGTGGATCTATGGATCTATTTTCTCTAAGCGATGTGTGGACGTTTTTTTATCCAGCACACCAAATTATAGTTGCTTGCTTATCAGTCATTTTTTCTGTACTCCCATTTTCGTTACTATGTAAAACATAATCATTTCGTATATATAATTGATAATTGATAAGTTTAAGAAAGAGATAGTACCAGGGTTTAGTTGTATGCCGCACCGCTAATGCTACTCTTAACTGACTCCACTGCTAAGCTTTTCGTGATCTGCTAATCCACATCCATCTGATCAATGGTCGCATTTGTATGACTGTGTACGTAATGCATTAGCAGTACGAGAAAAGTGCAACGATGACAGGCGCCGTTATTAACCATGGCTTTTTTATTAACGACATGCTTGGTCTCTGTGCTTTTCCCGCTCTCTCGCATTTTTTATTTTAGAAGACATTATTGTTATTTTATTGTTTTCGATTTAATATCGATTTTTCTTTACATTTACTACAAATTTACCAAATCTATTGCCACCCGCTTAACTACTATGGTTGAAAAGAAGGATTCTCCCGCCGCGAGCGACGACGTGCTCAACTCGAAGACCGCCACTGAGAAAATCACCAAAAACAAGGATAAGGGTGAGAAGGATGAGCTGGTAAGATTTCGGACGACAATAAAATTTGTCGCCAACATTATAAACAACAATGCGGTATTGTGCGCCGCGACGACTATTGAGTGTGTTGAATTGAATCGCAGTACGTTGTCAGACATCCACTAACGCAAGGTTTACAATGTTCAATTTTTAATTTTATGTAGTCTGAGGAGGACCAGCAGCTTGTCAGCGAGCTCGAGATGATCGTGGAGAGGCTAAAGGTAATAATCAAAGCATTTGCACACAGTCTGCACCAAATTCAAAGCGATTCAGTGCTGCTGCTGTGCTGACAGACAATCAATGGGCTGGGATAGCTAGGACATTCTGTTCATCACACATACTTTTTGCCACTTTCTATTTTGAACTGTTGCCGTAGGAGTCGTCGGTCGACATTCATCGCTCAGCGCTTGAGAACCTAAACACCGTTATCCGGTCGACAACAGGGTCGATGACATCGGTGCCCAAGCCACTAAAGTACTTGAAGGTGCACTACGAGACACTGGGCGAGCTGTTTGACCAGTGGATGGACGAAAATAATAAAAAGGCACTGGCCAGCATTTTGTCGCTGCTGGGCATGGCGTACGACCGGGACAGCAAGCGGGACTGCTTAAGGTACAGGCTTCTGGCCGGGCTAGAGAACGATGGTATTTCCGAGTGGGGGCACGAGTACGTGCGGCATCTGGCCATGGAGGTCGGCGAGGAGTATGCCATCAAGGTCGAGGAGGACAGCGGCGAGGACACAGACTACCTGGTCAAAGTGGCCCAGGAGATTGTGCCTTTCTTCATGCAGCACAACGCGGAGGCCGACGCCGTCGATCTGCTTGAGGAGCTGGGTCAGCAGGAGCTCATCGAGAACTTTGTCACAAAGGATACGTTTGAGCGCGTGTGCCTGTACATGATTAGCTGCTCTCCGCTGCTTGCACCGCCGTCGGACCTGGGGTTCCTGAAAACGGCCCGCCGGATCTACCACAAATTCGGCAAGCCGTCGCAGAGCCTGCCGCTGTCGATCAGGCTCGGGCAGAATGACATGATTAAGGAGGACTGGGAAAGCTGCACCACGCGCCTTGAGAAGGCGCAACTTGCGTTTATCATGGCGCGCCAGCAGGTGCACATGCCCGAGCTCATTGAGGACGACGACGAAGAGCTGTTGGCGTGCATGTACAACTCGGGGTTGTCGAAGAGCTACCTCAACCTGGCCCGCGACCTCGAGCTTCTCGACCCCAAGTCGCCTGAGGATATTTACAAGTCGCACCTGGAGAACTCCAACGTTGACACAACACTGGAGTCGGCGCGGCACAACCTCGCCTCAACGTTTGTCAACGCGTTCGTCAACGCGGGCTACGGAACCGACAAGCTGATGACCACAAGCACCAGCGGGCTCGAGTGGATCTACAAGAACAAGGATCTGGGCATGCTTAGCGCCACAGCGTCGCTGGGCATGATCATGCTGTGGGACGTCGAGGTGGGTCTCAACCAGATTGACAAATTCCTCGAGTCTGAGGACAACTCAATCAAGGCGGGCTCGATTCTGGCCATTGGCATGCTCACATCGGGCGTACACGACGAGACGGACTCGGCAAAGGCGCTGCTGGCGGACTACATTACGGATGAGAGCAAGCCGGCAATTATCAGGCTGGCGGCGATTACCGGTATCGGCATGGCGTACGCGGGCACCAACCGCGAGGACATTGTCGAGCTCCTGCTGCCGATCATCAGCGACACCGACATCACCATAGATCTGTCCTCGATTGCGGCGTTGTCGGCGGGCCTGGTGTGCATCGGGTCGGGCGACATCGACGTGTCGTCGAGTATTCTGCAGGCGATGATGGAGCGCGTCGATACGGAGCTCAACCACAAGTACGCGCGGTTTATGGCTCTTGGCCTGGGCCTGCTGTACGTGGGCACGCAGGACAAATACGACACGATCCTCGAGACGCTCAAGGTCGTCACGCACCCGATCGGCCAGCAGGCATCGATCATGATGCAGGTGTGCGCTTACACGGGCACGGGCAACGTGCTGGAGGTGCAGAAGATGCTGCACATCTGCGCCGAGCACCTCGGCGACAAGGAGGACCAGCTGCCACAGGCGTTTGCAGTGCTCGGAGTGGCGCTCATTTCGATGGGCGAGACTGTCGGGTCGGAGATGTCGCTGCGCACATTTGACCACTTGATGCAATACGGCGACCCGGTTGTGCGGCGCACCGTGCCTCTGGCCATGGCCATTGTGTGCGCGTCCAACCCGCTCGTCGGCGTGCTCGACACGCTAAACAAGTACTCGCACGACAACGACAAGGCGGTGGCGACCAGCGCGGTCTTTGCAATGGGTATCGTCGGCGCCGGAACCAACAACGCGCGCCTGGCGCAGCTCTTGCGGCAGCTGGCGACATACTACCACAAGGACACTGACATCTTGTTCACTGTGCGCATTTCACAGGGTCTGCTGCACATGGGCAAGGGCACGCTGACGGTCAACCCGTACCACCACGACCGGTCGCTGCTGTCGCACACTGCACTGGCTGGCTTCTGATCCCGATCGTAGCGATGACCAACGCTGAGAAGCTGATCCTGACGGACTCGCACTTTTTGCTGTACTACCTGGTGCGCGCCATGTACCCGCGCTTCCTCATTACATTCAACGAGGAGCTCGAGGCCATCAGCACTAGCGTGCGTGTCGGCCAGGCAGTCGATGCGGTCGGCCAAGTTGGAAGGCCCAAGACTATCACTGGATTCCAGGCGCACGAGACGCCGGTGCTGCTTGGCCACGCGGAGCGCTCCGAGATAGCGACAGACAAGTACATCCCGCTGACCAATGTGCTCGAGGGCTTTGTCATCTTGAAGAAGAACCCCGAGTACGTGGAGGAGGAAGAGGAGACGAAAAAGTGAGGCCGGGTGCTCACGGTTTCCATCGAGTTGACATTTTTCATTTTTCTATTCAGTTTTCAACACACACATTTACTTATTTACATTCAAGCTTGTTTTTTGTTGCATTAGCAAGCGCGGGTTAAAGTGAGATCAGCCGCGTGCTTGTCACAAGTGGGAATTAGCAACTAATTGAAAAGGCACATGTATAGTTTAAGTGGCTGACAAGTTTGAAGCAAACATCTTTTTTTGCTGTAATTATGCTTTAATTGTGCTTTAATTGTGCTTTAATTGATACAGCGCGCTTGCATGATCCGATTGTCGTTCTTTGCGAAGTGGCGACAGAGCTCGTCCCTTTGCCGCGCACGCCCTTTTCCTTTCAGAACAGTTTTTAAAGATTTTTCTTACATAAACCCGTACTATTGTTTTTCCAAAGCAAAAAATAAATAAATACACATTTAATGTCACGAATTGTCCAGTTTGAGCCTTTCAGCTCGACAGTCGAACCCGAGTTCTGGTCAAAGCTTGGTCATCACAAGCTGCACTCGGCGCAGCTCGACACGGCACGAACAACTATCCGGGGTGAGTTTACGGGCGGACGGCGCCACGCGGTGCGGAATAACGCGGCCGGAGCAGAGGTCCAGCGGCTGGCAGTGCCCGCCCGTCTGCGCGTCAGCCAGGATGCATGGACTACAGACAGCGCCATCAGCTCGCAGTTGGGAGCCAGCGTCAGCGGGCACCTGTACAACACAAACACGATTGAAGAGTTCAAAAAGAGCGACAAGGGCGAGCTGCTCCGGGGCGTTGGCGGAGAGGTCCTCGATGCGATCCACAGCGGCCGCGCGACTGAGGAGCCGCAGCTGTTGTGGCCGTTTGTGCTGCTGTCATTTGCCGACCTAAAAAAGTACCGCTTCTACCACTGGTTCGGCTTTCCCGCAGTCACAGCCGACCCGGCGGATACGGCCGATGCGGTCACCCCCATTGCGTCGTTTGTTGGCAGCAATGCAGACATCGACTCGCTACACAAGACAAGCGAGTTTGCCAGCGCCACAGGGGCGTTTCTTGCGCGGTACAAGGCCGGGGAGCCGTGGCGCCTGTATTCTCTGGGAGAGTGGGAGCAGGCGTTTAGCAATTCCGACGGCGGTGAGACAATGCTGGCGTTCGTCGACCCGAGCAGCCATGCTACGCGACCCGGATGGCCACTGCGCAACCTGCTGGCGTGGCTGCGATACACGCACGCGGATGTCTCGAAGATGCGCGTCCTGTGCCTGCGCGACGCCGTGGCAGAGAGTATTGTTGTTGATATCAACGTGACGGCGGCAACGGAGGTGAAGGCCGACAGGCAGGTCAGCGGCTGGGAGCGCAACGAGCGCGACCGCCTGGCACCGCGCGTGGCCGACCTCTCGGCAGCAATGGACCCTGTGCTGCTGGCCGAGTCGGCACTGGACCTGAATCTGCAGCTCATGCGGTGGCGCCTGGCGCCATCTGTCGACCTGGCCAAGGTTGCCGGCACTCGCGCCCTGCTGGTGGGTTCCGGTACACTAGGAGCATACACGGCACGCGCGCTGCTTGCCTGGGGCGTGCGCACCATTACGTTTGTTGACAACGGCCGCGTGTCATTCTCCAACCCGGCGCGCCAGCCGTTGTACGACTTTGCTGACAGCCTGGACGGCGGAAAGCCAAAGGCAGCTGCGGCAGCTGAAGCCATGCGCCGTATTTTTCCCAATGTCGACGCATCCGGTGTGCAGATGAGCATCCCGATGCCCGGCCATGCTGTGGCGCCGGCTGAGATTGACTCTGTGCGTGCGGCCGTCACGCAGCTCGAGGGCCTTATTAGAGCACACGACGTCGTGTTCCTGCTGACTGACAGCCGCGAGAGCCGCTGGCTGCCGTCGCTGCTCGGCGCACTGCACAGCAAGATTGTCATCTGCGTTGCACTGGGATTTGACTCGTTTGTAGCTATGCGCCACGGCGTGCACTCTACCGAAGACGCCGCCGGCGCGCGCCTGGGTTGCTATTTCTGCAACGACGTTGTCGCACCGACAGACTCACTGACCGACCGCACGCTCGACCAGCAGTGCACCGTTACGCGCCCAGGCCTGGCGCCCATTGCCTCAGGCACTGCCGTCGAGCTGCTGACCGCCATCATTCAGCACCCGCTCGGCGCCCACGCCCCGGCGCCTGCTGCTGAAGACGACCCCGACTCTGCCTCCCAGGGCGTCTTTGGCGTGCCGCCGCACCAGATTCGCGGATACCTGCGCGCCTTCCGCCAGCACACCATTGTCGGCCAATCGTCCAATATGTGCACGGCTTGCTCGCCCAAAGTGCTGGACGCATACCGCCAGTACGGCTTTGACTTTTTGTTGCGCGCCTTCAACAACACACTGGTTGCTGAGGACGCCCCGCACTGTGCTGTCGATGTGGATGAAGATGCGGCCAATGTGCCGGAGGGATACAGCTATCTCGAGACGCTGACTGGGCTTGCTGCGCTGCACCGCCAGACGGATGACATCATGGCAGACATTATGTGGTCTGAGGACGAGGACGCAGATGCAGCCAATGATGAGGACTTTGAGGCTATTTAATTTTTATAATGCGTTGTGCAGACTGCAACTCGTCACCCATGAGAGTCATATGCACATCGCATCAGCATGTCCACTACAAGCACATATGACCATGCGATGACATGTGGAAATATGTTGGGGCACTTTATTTTTTACACTTAATTTTTTTGTTTATAAGTAATTTGTTTTTATTACACATGGCATGTTCTGCTTTTATACTCACGCGCACACATCCAATCAATAGTTGTAATTGGTGCAATGCAACCGTTTTATATTATAAAAACAGAAGTGAACAAGGAAAAATACAAAGTAAAAGGCAACTAAAGTCTCAAAGATAAAAAGACAAAAGACAAAATGAAATAAAGGTGCTGCAAAAAAATGAAAAATAGTTGGCGAGAAAATTTAATATTAGCATGTAGGGGGTGGTGGTAGTAGTAGGTAAAGAAAGCTAGAGGTGTGTATAATGTGGGTGTGTATGTGGGTTGGAGGATAAAGGAAAAATATACAGAGGACTACAACGCGCACATGCAATATAATTTGGCGCTGGCCCAAACATATTCAAGTGCAAGCGTACAGTGGGATACCACTATATTCAACAGTACGGATACTGCTCATTGAGTGGCATGTGCTCCATGGACACGAGAATAATTTGTCATACCTGTAGGGATTACCGGAGGAATACATGTTTTGCTCATAGCTCGAGTTTCTGCGCAAGTCCTCCCATTGGCAATCACAACCGTCGCCGCACATGCTCCCGTCGGCCACATAGTGGCTCTCGCTGACATTGCGCTTGCGGCCAGAACTCTGCTTATTCTGGTTGTATTTCTGTGCCTCGAACAGCTGTAACAGAACTCATCATTGCACAGCCCCCCAGACGACTTGTCTTTCTCGTAGGCCAACAACCCATCGCTATTACTTTTGCCGCTGATGCCTCCATACTCGGTAGCAGAAGCCTCCTGCGACAGCGAGCTCTTCTTGAGGATCGAAGTGCCTGGGATATAAGTTTTGACTGGCGCCAATGTCGAGTTGGGCACGGGCATATTTTGGTACTCGGTAATGGGGTCGGCAAACGTCACTCTTTTCCCTGGCTTCTTTGTGGATTTTGCAATCGTACTTGCAAGTGCGCCCGCCACAGGCAGAGACAAGAGCGTGTATGCTTTCGAAACGGCTGCCATGCTAGGTGACAGACTATGATGGTGGTTGTGTCCAGTTGATTGCAAATTACCCTGACTGGGGCTCCGCTTGTGCGAAATCGTCTGGTAATTGTCATAGTTCTGATGAATAGAGAATTCCTGGCCTTGTTGTTGCTGCTGCTGCCCCTGGTACTGGTACTGGTATTGGTTTGAGCTGCGCTTGTTGCTTGGCTGCGTGCTTTGACTCTGGGGTTTTCTCTGTGCAGCATACTGTTTGGGGCGCGAGGTGGGGTAATGTGTATTGCCATTATTCATGTAGTCAGGCGGCGGAGAATCGTTGTAGTATGGATACGGTGTGCTGCCTGGATTCCCGTAGTCATATTTGGTCACTTTAGCCTGGGGTTGAGTCTTGGGCTGAGTCTGGGGCTGAAATTGGGCTGGGTCAAGGGCAACATGCGCTGTTGATAAAGTTAGTGACAGTACTCATCGGGAAGCTCAAGTGATGGCGGCGTTTTGTTGCTGCTTGCTGCTGAGACAACGGTGTTGGCGGTATCAGTGGTTTGCTGTAGTGCTGCTGGCCCTGCTGCTTCTGCAATGGGTGCTGTGAAACATTGTTATTGTTTTGTAAATAATAAGTGCTGAATCCTTCCTCACACCGATGGTAGCTATATTGGGCAACTTGCTTGTGCATTTGCCTCCTGTGTATTATACTTTCCGCTATTATCTTTGCTGTAGCTGCCATCATAATGTTTTGCCACTGGCAATGGAATGGCTGCTGCAGAGGCCCCAGGTTTGGCATGCTTATGTGTTATAGTTATAAGAGTGCTGCCGGTCGGCTTTCAAATGGAAAGCACTGGCAGGGACAGACTGTATGTTGTGTGAAGGTTTGTACATTGTCGGCGTGACATAGACACAGACTAATGAGTGTTTGTGTAGTTTGGGAAAGAGAAAACGATGATGGTGGGTGTATTTTTAATTTTCCCTGTTATTATTATGTTGGGCCCTCCAACAATATGCAAACTTTCTGCTTCTGACTGTTAACAAAACAGCTCGGACAAACAGGCGGAGGTAATAAAGGAGACGTTGTATATATTAATAATTAATAATATGAACAGTCCCTGTAAATATCAAAAATGAAAATGCTATAAAAATATTTGAATAATTGGTGGTGTGTATGTGTAAAAAATTATTTATTAACAAGAAATTGTGGTTTATCGTTAGGAAAAAAAGCGGGAACAGCCAAGATTGAGCAGGGAATGGTTATTTTATAATTTAATGTAAAGTGATAAATAAATTGGATATAATTATGCTTTACATTCTCCTATTTTTCAATAGTATCTTCTCACGTTTTGTTCATTCTTTTTTTTTTGTTACAAAGGTGATAAGGCAAAGTGATGTTGCCAACAATTTGTACCAGCAAAAAAAAAAGAAAGCGTAAAAAGGACGCTTTCTTACACGGGGTTTATACAATGTAAGCGCATTGTACACATTTTTTTCCCTAGTGGGATGGTAAAAGGGAGGAAAGCAGTGCCAAATTGTAGACAGATGCGGCATCTTGGCACAACAAACTAATTCATTTTGCTTAATACAAACATGTAGAAAATGAAAATTCAGCGAGACTTGGAACGAGAGAAATAAGCGTAAAAGGGCGCGCCGCTCCAAGCATTAGGAAACGTGCGCACAAAAACAAGGCAATATAAGCCAATGACAATAAATTCCCGAAGCATGCACATAATAACAAGGCAAATGTGAGCGCTTACTTGAGGGAGCAGATGCGGAAGGGGTAGCAAAAAGTCTCCATTGTGACTTTGTTGTTTTTCTATCATGTTTTCCATTTTTCTTTTTATACGTCTAAAATGGCAGGTTGTGCGAGTATTTGCCACAAAATACGCCCACGTTTTGTATCTGTGCGAATACGACTGGACACTCGTTCAATTTTTGCTGTGTGTGAAGTTGAAGTCTCCAGCTGAGGCGGGACATTAATTCTCGCCTCCTGGCTTGTAAAGCGCAAGTCTTTCCGTTCGCTTGAACGTCAGTATCTGCGGAGTATTGGGGGCAGAGGCAATAAAGAGCAATGCGGAAAAGTTGCGTTTGTCACATTGTGAGAATGGTGACTGGCAGGATCACGCCAGTTGAATGAACATTCGGCAATTCAGGTCGACTACTTAGTATTAATTTGTCCACTTTTCAGCCCCATGTACGCCTGTATAGAAATAAAGAGCGAACATAAATGTAATTGTGTGATATGTGCATTTTTGAAGAAAATTTAACTGGAAAAATGAGTGAATGGCTGGAACACAGCAAGAGACAGAATAAGGTGTACAATTAAGCCACGTTTTCAATTCATGATTTGAGCTGCAGACTAGACTAGGAATTTGAGCAAAGCAAAGAAGTCAATGCTGGCTTAGTAGCCACCCCTGCCGCGACCCCTGCCGCCAAAGCCTCCACGACCACCGCTTCCACCGCGGCCGCCGAAGCCGCCGCCGCCGCGACCAAAGCCTCCACGACCACGACCTCCACCGCGGCCGCCACCGCGACCGCCGTAGCTGCTGCTGATCGAGCGACCGGTGACAACGTCGTTGTCCTCGAACTCGGGCAGGGCTTGGCAGGTCTCCAGACGCATGCCGTTGCGCTGGGCTTCCACTCCATGCCCTTGACAACAATGACGGTGCCGGCGTTCTCATCGGCAGCGTCGACTCGGCGTTCCTCAATCAGGTGGCTCATAATGTCAAAGACAACCGACGTGCGACCAGCGCCAATGCGGAAGGAGTTCATGTCCTTGTCCTCGAGGCCGGGGGTGTGGCGGACCATGGCGCCGCGCACATAACCCCAAGTGTTGACAGGCTCGTCCGTATGCATGATCATCGTCACACGGTCGGCTTCGCCGGTCATCAAGCTGCGGCACGGGATGCCCTGGCTGTAGCCCGAGATGTGGGCCAGCGCAGCGGACAGCGCGCGCACAGCGTTGCCTCCAAAGGCGCTGTCGGCCAGCTCGGTGGCCGTGGCCATAAACAGGTCGACGGCCGAGGCCGAGCACTTCTCGATAACCTTGGCTGACTCGAGGCCGGTGGTCTGGATGATGTCGTTGGCCTGGGGAGGCTGGATCATCTCGCAGTTGACACCGGCGCGCTTGCGGATGTACTCGGGCCACCACATCTCCTGGGGGCCAAAGCAAGTGATACACACGCCTGAGCGGCCAGCGCGACCGGTACGGCCACTGCGGTGGATAAAGGTCTCAGCGTCCTTGGGGGGGTCGGTGTTGATGACAAGGTCGACCTCGGGAATGTCAAGGCCGCGCGCTGCGACGTCCGTGCAGATAAGCACGCGCAGAGTTCCGTTACGGAAGCCCTGCAGCGTCTGCTCGCGCTGCGCCTGCGGGATGTCGCCGTGCAGCGCCTGCGCGCCATTCGTGAACTTGGTCGACGTAGACAACTTGTTGGCATCGGCCTTGGTCTCAGTAAAGATGATGCAGCGTCCGGCCTTGCCGTATACAGCAACCATGTCGCAGACAATGTCGTGGCGAGTCTTCCACGGCGTGACCACAGCCTTATAGGCAACGGTCTCACTGGTCTTGAGAGCCTGGGAACCGATCAGATCAATCTTCTTGTGGTCGGGCTTCATGAAGTCGCGCGCAATCTGGTTGACCCACTCTGGAAGAGTGGCCGAAACAGCAGCGTCTGTACTGGCCACCGGCGCGCTGCTCCTGCACGCAACGAAGTACCTTCTCCATATCATCCTTAAAACCAATGTCCAGCATCTGGTCGGCCTCGTCGAGACAGATAAACTGAATGTTGCTCAGAACCAGGTTGCCGCGGTCAATCAGATCAATGACACGGCCAGGGTGCCGACGACAAAGTCAACACCGTTGCGCAGCTTGTGCTGCTGGTCGTAGATGGAGGTTCCACCATACACGGTGACGACGGTAACTTGGTGGTGGTCAACTCGATCTCGTTGGCAACCTGCTTGGCCAACTCGCGCGTGGGCGCCAGCACGATTGCACGCGGCTGACGGTCGCGCTGCAGTGGTCGGTCGACTTGAGCATAAGCTCAATCATGGGCAGCGAAAACGCCAGGGTCTTTCCGGTACCTGTGCGGGCGCGGCCAAGAACATCGAATCCCTCGATAATCGGAACCAACGTGTTGGCCTGAATGGGGAACAGCGCCTCAATGCCACGCTTGCGCAGAGCAACCTTGGTCTGTTCCGACAGGGGGAAGTTGTTGACACTGAGCTCGTTGACAGCCTCGACCTCGACCTCCGTGGCCTGAGTGACGGGAGCGTCGGCCGTTTTGGTGTGGGCCTTCTTGGTGGGCTTGGGTTCAGTCTCAGACTCGGACTCCTCGGAGCCGGAGGTAGACTTGTGCTTGCGCTTCTTGTCGGTCTTCTCCTTCTTGTCCTTCTTTTCCTTCTTGTCAGACTTTTCCTTCTTGTCCTTCTTCTCCTTCTTGTCGGATTTGTCCTTCTTTTCCTTTTTGACCTTCTTGGCGTCAACGACAGAGTCGGCGGTGTGGTCGATGGAGAGGGCGGCGAGAGCCTTGGGGTCGATTGAGGGTGCCATTGTTAAGAAAAAGCAGATGTGTCAATGACTTTGTGTGTACTTGTGTAGTGAGTGTGGACGGGACAGGCTAGCAAATGATGATGCTGTTGGATGAGAGATATTAAACAGATAAACAACGAGACGAAAATTGCTCTAAAGTCGTAAGAAAAATATGCTATGTACTGGTTAAATGATGAATAATAAGAACACTAGGTAAACTTTAGAAAGACAAGATGGCAGGAACAACGAGCAGCGAGCAATGCTTCCTTTTGATGCTGTGCGCAGACTTTTTTTTTTGCTGCGACAATGCAAAAAAAAGCTGGGCTTAATCGCGCGCAATCAATTGATCTGGCTTATGTCCAAAAAAAACAGTCCCACTGAGTGTTTGTGGCTGTGATGTAGATTAGCCAATGGCAGCTAGATGAAGCCGATCGCTCCCATTTACTTATTCGTGGGGTTTCTGAATGGTTTTCATCGCAACTGTATTGTGTTTTTGTGACACGGCGCAAAGCGAAAGAAAAAGTTGGGGGCACAGACTGGCGTGTGCTTTGCTTTCTCCTTTTATTCACGACTTCCACCTGACCTGCCCAACCCTTTTTTCTACAAAAATTATTAACTGTTCGGTTTAAATTAACACACTTTAACCTCTCGCACAACAAATGTTTATTCGCCGAATTGACTCGCACGCCCCAAGCCAAAACAACACTCACAGGCCCTGCCGCAAGTACAGCCACAACCACACCGACGACGACGGCAACGACATCAACATAATCAGGATCTATACATAGTAGAAGCAGCGAAAGATAACCCGCCAACACTCTGCTTGGCGCCCCACTCATCGTTTCTGCTCGCTTTCTTGACGCAGCTTCAGCTCAAGCACACGCGGTGACTTTGAAGATACAACACCATCAAACAGCAACAAAGTAAAACTACCAACACCACACCCCTACAGCGCATTCGCCACAATGATATTTGACATGGAGCTCGAGGAGGAAGCCCCCATTACAGGCCGCCAAAGCTGGCGCAATCGCCTATTGTGCTCCCGTCACTCACGCTGTCGCGTCCCGGGTCCCAGCTGGCAGGGTCTCGCTCAGAGTCCCAGGCTGTGCCCCGTCGCCGGCCCAGCATTTCGGCCAGGACGCTGAACATGCTCGAGAACCAGCTCGACGGAATTCACATGGACTCAGATTACGAAGACATGGCCGACAACGAGGATGTCGAGGTCCCCCTCGACGAGGACTTTGTCAACAGTGACAGCGACTGTGGTAGCGACGATTCTGGCGCAGAAGCCCGCGATGAAGGCATTCGCGTATGCGGCAGCGGCAGCGCAATGGACAACTCGGCTGACCAGGAGTCGCAGCCCTCGAAGCACTGCAAAGTTACTATCAATAACTTTACCGTGCTAAAGTTGATTGGGAAAGGAGGGTAAGTAAAATAGCCCTGCAATCTACAGCTAACTCGTTTTATGCTTCTTTAATTTGTGTCGCATTGTGCGCAGCCGCGGTCTCGCTTGGCTTTTTCAACTGCGTTTTACTGCGACGCCGCCAATCGAAGTTTCCCCCACATTCCCCACATATCCTCGCCCCGCTTGAATCCGGCACTGCGCATTGGAGCGAACTGCACCTAAATCCAATCCACTTTTGTAACTGTAGATACGGCAAGGTGTACCTTGTCCAGCACAAGCTGACGCACAAGTACTACGCGATGAAGGTTCTGCGCAAGGCGTCTATTCTGCTGAAGCGGCGCCAGATCACCTTCACCATGACCGAAAGGTCTATTCTCTCGGAAGTGCAGCACCCATTCATTGTCAAGCTCTACTATGCGTTCCAGAGCAACTCCAAGCTCTACTTGATCATGGAGTACGTGGCCGGCGGCGAGCTGTTCACACATATGGCCAACGAGCGCATCTTTTCGGAGGACCAGGCCGTATTCTACGCTGCGGAGCTCGTTCTAGCCCTGGCGCACCTGCACAAACTTGGGATCGTGTTCCGCGATATCAAGCCCGAAAACTGCCTGCTCGACAAGCATGGTCACCTTGTTCTGACCGACTTTGGCCTGTCAAAGACAGCGCTCGGGAAGGACGGTCGCACGAGCACATTTTGCGGCACGCCATCATACATGGCGCCCGAGGTTCTGGAGCTGTCGACCGCTTATGAGTTCAGCGTGGACTGGTGGTCCCTGGGAATCCTGCTCTATGAGATGCTCACGGGAGCTGTGCCATTCAAGGGCAGGGCGCCCGCGCAGATTTCAAAGAACATATCCAAGACCAAAGTCAAGTACCCCAACTACATGACGCCCGACGCTAAGGACCTCATTATCCGCCTTTTGCGCAAGAATCCCGCCCAGCGCATTGGGTATGGCCCCAAGGGCATTGCTGAGCTGAAAAGCACAGGTTCTTCCGCAAGATCGACTGGGAGCGGCTTGAGAGGACCACGCGTCGTTTACGCCGCCCATAGTTCCGGTCGTCGCGAGCGACTGCGACGTGAGCAACTTTGCCACCGAGTTTACCGCCGAGGAGCTCGCGACTTCCATTGTGCGCGGGAGCCTTCTTGATCCCGATATGGACAATGTTTCTGACGAAGCCAAGCAGCTCGACAGTACTGCTGGCCGTGACAGGTACCCTGCAGTTGCTATTACCGACCACATCCCGACTACAGCTTGCAATATTGCTAATGCGAACAAAAATGATGCAGCCAAGGCTGGAGACGACATTGATCCTGCCACAGCATTCCTGGGATTCAGCTATGTGGCCAACTCTGTTCTGGACACTGTCAGATAATGAAGCACTCCAATTTTAAACTAATTTAATTCCGTTTTAATACGCACTCCACACTTTGGTAAAGAAAAAGGTTTGCTTACTTGTGACCTTATTTTGTTTGTTGAAGTGAGGGAAAGAGAGTGGAAATTACTACATGTACGCCATAAGTAGTCAAAAAGAGAAAATTACTTGATCTTGTGCTCCATGAACAGCACATGCTGGTTGACGCGCGGATCAAACTTCATCATCGACAAACGGAAAGCAGCCGTGCGGGGCCTCTGCTTGACGTATGTGAACCCAGTGCCTGCAGTGCTGATAAGGCGGACCAAAATGTTTCTCGACTTGGGTTTCTTGGCCACTACAAAAAAATAGAAATGAACGAACGAATAAATGAGTGACAGAAGAAACGAGGTATACCCAATGCTTTTTGTTTGCGATTAGTCTTTGTCTCTAAATTTCCGCCGATTCCGTTTTGCCGTGCCGCCGTCGAGCTTCCATTGTAAACCTGAATTTCGTAGAGAATGCACTCATCCCACTCTCAAAAACCAAGTTGCCTATTCCCAATTCCAAACTTACTCTTGCGTCGCAATTATTTGTGTATGTACGCGAAGCGAAATAAGAGTTGGAAAAATAGACTAATTCAAAAGCAAGCAAGAAAGAAAGCAAGAAAGCAAAATCGAAAAAGGCAAAAGCTCAACAATCAACCCACAAAGTGAGATAATCTGTGATTTTTAGATTTGCAAGCAGATTAAGCCTTTAATATTTATACTGCGCACAAATTTGCGCTGAACATGAGTAATTCCAACTTTAAAAATAGGTTGCAAACATCCATTAACCATTTCAATATGCAATAAACAAAACTAATTTATTTGTAAGAGTTAATTAATCAATAATAAAATCTATCACGGCAAACCCTTTTTCCTGCGCTGATTTGGCCATTCTTTCGAAATCGCACTTCCACAAGCAGATCAGATCTATATCTATTAATATAGAGAATTCATGGGTGCCCACACTTTACAGTAGCCAAACATCTCTTCGCGCATATTAGCAACCAAATGGTTATTGTGGATTACAAGTGATCCGGATTTGGTGTATGGCTCGCAAACGCATATGCCGCGAATACCAACTATTATCGCTAGACATTTGACATCTAGAGCTGTGTTCATCACAAAATACGATTCTTGTCCAGGAGCTATATCATGCCAGTAGTAGTGCTTGTCGCAGCCTAGATAAAAATTCATAAACCAGACGTTATCAAAGTGTTATTTTGTAGTTCGCCATTTCAAAAATAATAATAATTCCTTTTACTTTCTCAAAATAAAATAACTCATATCCATCTTTATACTGGTTTAAGAACGCAAATGAGTGAACGTTTATAATAGTTCGATTTTAATGGGTTCCCAGCGCACATCGCGGTAAACACATTAGTATTGCAAAATCCAAACATTATTGCTTTGTATGATAATGATAACAAAACTATTGACGCAATAATGTGCAACATTCGATCTGCATTTGCTTGCAATTGGCAGCATCAGCCAATACATTTGGAAGCGAGATGGATGATCAATATGTCTGACTGATTTGATAAAACCAAATAAGACTGCTGCTAATTGCAAATTAGTGACCGCGCTTTTCCAGCCGCTCGCTCTCAGCCAGCGAGCTGCAGTTGATGCCGACCATGGCCTCGCCCAGGTTCTCAGAGACCTCAGCCAGCAGCTTGGCGTCCCTGAAATGAGTAACAGCCTTGACAATGGCGCGAGCGCGCTTGGCCGGGTCTCCGCTCTTGAAAATACCCGATCCAACAAATACACCGTCACATCCAAGCTGCATCATTAACGCGGCATCAGCAGGAGTGGCAACACCGCCGGCAGCAAAGTTGACGACGGGCAGACGGCCAAGACGAGCGACCTCGCGCAATAGATCAATCGAGACGCCGAGCTCCTTGGCGTAGTTATACAGCTCCATCTTGTCCAATGAAGTGGCATGGCGGATCTGGTCGTTCATTGTGCGCATGTGCTTGACAGCCTGGATAACATCACCGGTTCCGGCCTCACCCTTTGTGCGGATCATCGCGGCACCCTCCGAGATACGACGCAGGGCCTCGCCCAGGTTGCGCGCACCGCAGACAAAGGGAATCTTGTAGTCGTGCTTGTCGATGTGGTAGGTCTCGTCGGCAAGGGTCAAGACCTCACTCTCGTCGATGTAGTCGACGCCGATAGCCTCAATGATCTGGGCCTCACAAAGTGGCCGATGCGCACCTTGGCCATGACCGGGATAGTGACAGCCTCGATAATCTCGCGGATCATCTGCGGGTCAGACATGCGTGCGACACCGCCGTCCTTGCGGATATCGGCGGGCACGCGCTCGAGGGCCATGACAGCACAGGCACCGGCCTCTTCGGCGATGCGCGCCTGCTCGGCGTTGACAACGTCCATAATCACACCACCCTTGAGCATCTGAGCAAGTCCAGTCTTGACCTTGAATGTGGTGGCGTAGTCAGCGGTTCCATGCTCCTTGGAGTCCTTAGTGAGGTTGGTTGCGGTTTTGAAATCGGACATTCTTGATAAGTGTAAATTCTATGATGTATTCAAAAGTGAAAAGTAAAGATGGAGTGAATGGAATAAACAAAAAATAAATGCTTTTTTTAATAACACGGGGTCATTTGCGATCGCATGCCCCCAATCGACATTATGTGCACAAATTATAACAATATTTGCGTCTGGGCCTAGCAGGACAAGGGGAAATTTGGGCGGAGTAAGAATTGCCTCATTTCACAAAGGTATGAAACAGTGCCACACCCACGCTCAGCCACGCACTTTATTCTCGTTGCAGTATTTTTGTGAGGGTGAAAATACATTGTCGCGCCGCTGTGAGCTTTCTCGATGGCGGAAATGTGAGCAATTAGCACGTTTATCTTGCTCAAATGTGTGCTCTTGCATAATTGGTTTTACCATTTCCGAAAAGGGATCAGGTGGTACTATTATATTATTGCTTCCTTTCTGTGTATGATGTTGCCAAATATAACAATAATTTTACTGTAGCAAATCTTCAGTCTGCGGAATAGCCTTCGAGATTGTGTTTATGCACTTGTGCTCTATAAAAATGTGGGTTTAAATTAATATATTCGTCTTAAAAATTACTTTTGGAACTGAAAAAAGGGGGCACCGCTGTGTGGGCAACGCTGTAAACAGCATGGTGTTCCTTGATGTTAGCCAGCAATAACATAAATGTGTATAGCGGCCATGATGGCAATTTGATGCTTGAAAAGAAAGATAATGGCTTGGAATGTGTGTTGGGCACCACACATTGGCATCTTATGGAAGAGGTAGGAAATTCAGTGCAATCATTTGGCAGAAACTCAGCAGCAAGCAACCGGTGCAAAACCAAATAGGAAACACTGCTGCGGCTACTCACCCCCGCAGGCAGCGCACGGATTGATTTATCTATATATAATGGCAATTATATCCCTCAGTTGTTTAATATAGGACAGGCTTTATCAAACGAACAAGCGGATCTATGGATCTATTTTTTCTAAGCAATGTGTAAACGTTTTTTATCAACGCATCAAATTCTAGTTGCTTACTTATCACGAGTCTTTTTTTATCGTACTCGCTTTTTTCGAATGAGAGAAAATAAATGCATTTATCGAGATATAAAATAAATAAAATGCAAACCCTAAAGTTGTTGTATTGTTTTTTGTCATTGTTATAAATCCCACAACGTATCCTGGTGCATCCACTAATCTTTACTCGAAATGCGGGTGCGGCCAATTTTATACATTTATGCATTGCCATAGGAAGTCAACCATCGAACGCCTTACGCTCAAATTAAAACTCAAATTCATAATCACAATCACACTCTCATTTATATTTACATTTACATTAATTACAATGGCAAGTATCGAACAGCAGTTCTTGCAGCAGTGTAGCAGCATGCCCAACGACGAGGATGTGTTTGAGCGCGCCCGAGCACGTGAAAATGACGATGCACCTTTGCCTATAGAAAATACCAGCGACACAGCAGCTGCATTGCACCGTCTGTGGTTCATGACGGGCCTCAGACCGGCGTCAAGGGCGTTATTGCTGACTACCGGCATAAACAGCTTGATCAGTGGCAGCAGCATGAAATAAAAATGGCAGCGGCAAAGTCTGCGTACACGAGCGCTGCCCAGCGCAACATTGTTGATGCCAGCACCGCACCATATGGACTAAGCAAGACGAGCAGCCTGCCAGCGACACAGACCTGCTATCCAACAGCGAGGACGATGACGATAAATTTATTGCCGAGTACCGAAACAAACGCATATGTGAGCTCGCCCATGTCGCCGAGAAAAATGGCATGGGCGCGCTGAGGGATGCAACGCCTGACGAGTACGTAGACATTGTTGACGAGCGGGCACAGTCTGGGGACTGCGTTGTAGTTGTCTTAGTTAATGCCAGCGCAGCCTCGAGGAGGTTCGAGTCGTTTGTGCGTGCGCTGGCGGCCGGATTTGCAGAGGCGTGTTTCTGCGCGTGTCTGCCAAGGAATGCGGATTTGTTGATGCCTCGGTGGTACCGATTGTGCTGGTTTACCGTGGCGGTGAGCTGAAACATAATTTGGTCCGCGTCGTCGATCATCTCAGTGATCCAAATGGGTTTGTGTCGCATGATGTAACCCGGCTCTTGGACTCCATCTTGCGCAAGTAACAGAAAAACAGTATATGACTGCTTGCAGCAGTCCGAATATCCCTTAGATAGTTGTCCTTTGACTGTAAAAGGGGCGCAAATGTGCAGTATGCAGCGGTTTTCAATTTTTTGGTTGTACTTGTGGTTGCTGAGACTAAAAAACATTATGACAGTTTACAAATTATGCACGGTCGTGTGTAATTGATAATTGTTTGTCGTTAATACAAAAAGGGAAAAGGGAGAAAAAGAAAACAAAGTAAAAGAAAAATGCAGGATGCGATTCAACTAGGGAGGCTGAAAGCTAGAGCCGTTTAAAAAAGATAAATGGGAGTAGGGTGTGGTTGTCAAATAATATACAGTAGTTACAGTGGTATGTCCGTGGCAAACCAAACAGCGTCTCACGCCAGTTAAATGGTGCGCATGCGCTTGCGCAAGCAAATAACGCCTGGTACAGACAGCTTCTGCTGCTGGTTATCAGAATCAGAATCAACTGTGTAGATAGCATCAATCGCGCTGTCCAAATGAACGCAGAACCGTCGTCAAAGTACTGGACATCAGCTCAATCATGTCTATTGGCTGGACATAGTGATTGTCGTAAAAGTACCGGCCATCGGCATCGCTCTCGTTAATAGTATCGAGATTTCCAGTAGGCTGGCCAAGGAACTAACGAGCAACTTCCACCAGATATGTCGAATTTACAACATACTTGATATGCTCCAGTTTGTCGTAGAGCTCATCAAAATCCTGCTGTGCAAGATCCATCAGCTCCACCGTCTGCAACTCAATAGCCTGCGCGTGATTCTCGGCGGCTTCACGCTTCTGGTCGGATTCGTTGAGTTTCTGCTCAGTGACTTCCAGCTTACAGTCGGTATTCTTCAACTCACGGTCAAGATTGACCAAATCAAAACGCAGAACCTTAACCTTTCTTTCCTCGATTATTAGTTGTTTGTAAAGCTCCTTGTTGATATTAGTAAGCGCGTTATTGCTGTCGGTGAGTATTTTTTTGCTGTAAGCAAGCGACCTTGCTAGAAGGCGAGACTCGCCAAGATCATGAACTTCCATGTGCCACGTTTCTGCCGCTTCCACCTTGGTCTCAAACGCTCATTCTTTAAAGCTAATTCTGCAAGCATGTGGTTGGTTATGTTTAGTTTGCAGCTGATTTCTGCTGCCTCACTGGTCTTTTGCTTAAGCCGGAGCTCCAGGCGCTGAACATCCAATTATCTGACCCTCAGCTTCTCCCTAGCATCGGCCAACTCGGCGCGCAAAAAATATCCTCAGTCTGCTCGGTTTAGGCTCAGCCTGTACAAGATAAATTGCAGCATGGGTGTACTCGGCTGCATCCTGCGCAGCTGTGAGCTCACCATGGTAGGAATCAATTTCAACTTTGGAGTGTGAGGACCTGGCGTCTTCCTGGATGAATGCAACCCTGGTGTGTGCAGACTCAGGGCTGGGCGAGTCAAACTGCTCAGCCTTGGCTCGGGAAGTGCGCAGGCGGCGCATCAGCTTGCGTGGACTAGTGCTGCGGGCAGGCGTGTGTCTGGTGACAGAGCGCAGAGTGGTGCGCAGGTTGCGCATTGTGTTTGTAAACTCGATAGTCATTTTAACGACAAGTAAATGCTGACAAGAAAAAAGTCAAAGAAAGAAAGAGATGACAAAATAACTGAATAACTATTATTTTCGAATAGAAACAGTAATTTCGAGTATGAATTGGTTTACAGTTAGAGCAAACAAATGAATTTTAAACGGCGCAAATACATGCAAACTTCTCTTTCTTTTATATAGCTTCGTAGTGAATGTGAAGATTCAATGAAAAAGAGGAGAAAGAGAAAGAGAAATGCTGCGCTGACTGCCAGCCGCCTTTTATGTCATATCATGTCATATAGTGTTTTGTTTGTTTTAATTTTTATTTTTGTCGACGCCACAATTTTTCATGATCCCAAAAAAGAGCACGATGAACAGGGTTTTTTGTGTTTCTGTTCGATTGGTGGGAAATTCGGTGCTGTCCTGGCAATCATTTGGGCACAAAGTCGTGATTGGATGCCTGGCTGATTGGTAAACATAGTTTTCTATTGATTTGCAAAACTGTATTGTATTTTTATTGGTTGATGGTGATCAAATGATTAACCGGTCTTGGCTGTTTAGCAACACTAGAAAGCATATGCTTGGTCACTGTGTGACTTATTATTTTCTTTATCTTTCACAGTGCATAGCACTTATTTATTAAATATACTTTATATCATTATAGTTTATCTACACGTTCATAGAACGTTCCTATATTCCAAAATTTTAAAGCGCATATACGCAGTCTTTTGCGCTTAGGCTGGCTGCACCTACCAGCACAGGTTTTTTGTTTGGGTTAAGGTTCAAGCCAAATAGACCCTCGCATGGCTGCCGAATGACATGCATCCGTATCTTTTAAAGCTCAACCGCTACTATTGCCACATTGTAGCTGACAATCAGCTCTCCTCACGCAGTGCCGCATTGTCAAAGTACCAAGCGACTGGTTATTTGGTGCGCCAAGCTGCGCGCATATATTGAGGTTAATCCAGGGCAAGGCGCATACTTTTGTCGTTGGATTTGTGGTTCGAGCAGCTGGCGCTGACGTTGGAGCTTCCATCAGTAGGATAACCCTCAGCATGCATGTGGGGGCAATGTGGCCACAGCTGGGCTTATTGCACACCAGTGCGTCGGCCATGGTCACATATTGCAAGTGCTGCTTTAGTGTAAGGGCATGCACAGGGCTGTCAGTGGCGACTTCATGGATGTGTCCAGCATATCTATAAAAAATTACAAATATGCTTCTTTCACAGACTGCTTTTGACCAAGACATCTATCTATTGGTCCATTCCTAAATGGTTAGTCAGCCAACTTTCCAATCAAATCATAATCTCCTGCTCCTTAACCTCAAAACACTTTTATTTTCTCCAACTGGTGAGTGCTGTACTCCTGCGCGCGGTCCTCTTGGTAGTTTGCTGTTCAAACATGCAATCTTTTTTGGTAGTGCATTTGCCTTTGCCGTCTGGCGCTACCAAATATCTGTTGATCTGGGTGCCAAAGTAGCATGTCGAGTGTGGGTGCCGCCATTAGACCCAGTCTCAGTGCAGCCTGAGTGTGATACAAGGAATTGCGGCTTGTCTCCAGCGATTGATTAATGAATCAATCGCTAGTTAATTCCCTATTGGATATGCGGGAATTCATACGCACACATAAATACTAATGAATATAAACAGTAGAGGCTGTTTATTCCTTAGCTTTCTTTTAGTTCATTTTTATTTAACATATATATTTATAACGTAACAACTGGAAACATGGTCTTCATCACAAATACCAGAAATGTAAATTAAAAAGGGATGTATGGGTACCACACATACACACAGTATTAGTTGCAAAAAAGTTATAATACATTATAGTAAATAGTTAATAGTTAATATAAAAATGCAATAACGTGGATAAAAAGTACCGCTTTCATGGAGCTTTATAAAACTCAGGCCTATACAAGCATACATTGTTATTTAGCGGATCAGCTGGTTGATTTGATTAATCGCAGATAATTAAATTATTATTATCCTAATAGAGCCTCATAGCTCTTTTAAATCAACTCTATCCATACAACCTATCGTAAACAAAGGATTCACACTTAAATTCGTCATTCAAGCAGTGTAGCTGTGAAAATAATATAATAAAATTCAATCGTTATAATGGCTGTTGTGAGGGCGGGAAAATAAACTCGGATTGTTTTAACTGCCCACACCCAGACAATAAAAGTCTGTGAATGAAAAGTATTTGCGCTTGCGCTTGCACTTGCACTTGCATTCGCAAGCTAATCTACTTTTTTGTTTCACCATTATTCTTTCTTGTTCAAATAAATATTTTTATTTTTATATTATACAGCAGCGCATGTCATCAGACGGACGCACAACGGCGCATAGAGCGGTTACCAAAGCACACATCCACACACAGACTCACCCTATCTTTCTATTTTGACTGTACGTATCTTAAAGTTTGCCGCGGCAGTGTGTTAGGCGCAGCGCAGAGACGGTGTTAAAAACTTATAAGGACGGTGCATATGTAGGGAGTTTTGTCTAAAACACTTGCTCGCACTAGTCAACACCATATGATTTGTATTTAAGACAGAAAAGCTAATATACATCTATGCAAGCATTCGGGGGTTCGCTATATTTTTTGCTTTTTTGCTTGCTGTTTATTAAGAATTATATGGTTATAAATATATACTTTCCAACATCTTAATCGGGGCACTTTCAAATAAGACGGGCATGAGGCATGTTCCAACACCTTCATATTGCCAGAATTCCCCATCGCCATGCAGTGGGTACAATACCCCAATCATTCAGCCACATAGACGTTTATAGCACCTTGACGTTTTGCCACACTGCCAGATAAAGGATTAGAAAAAGGTATCTGTCAAGAATTTTAGACACCCGTTGACATACCTCGCCGACCCAGTTGAGCCCAATCATTGTGACAGCATTATATAAAATCTATATTGCATAGCAGAATAGGTCCAGTGCATTGCCATAAGTTTGGACGCGAAAACCAGAATGGCTGACAGAAAAGCATTTGATACTGGTCAATTTGATGCACTTTAGGAAAATACTGGAGTAAATGGCAAATTGCAAGCGCATTGTAGTAGGCGGCTAGATTACAAACACATGCTACAGCGCATAAAATTATAGACAAATATTACTATAATAGCCAATTGACATGCCCCAACTTTATCACAGGCAGGGCAAAGGCACTAGCGATTAGGTAGCAAAAGCTGCAAGATGTGTTTTGGTCAGAAAAGCACAAATATACGTGCCATGCGTTAGACATCAGTGTACTTGAGCGGCTCGTAAATAAATATTTTTGAGTAGCTGCCAATATTTTTTGCAAGCATTGTATCCTTAGCCACGAGTAATAAAGAACAACCATAGGCTGTTATATAGGGAAGAGCCACCAAAATCACTCCTGTTGATTACTGCAGAGCTTTTGACGCTTAATACAATGGTTGCCATAGTGTCCTCCTGGGACAATAATGACACATTTTTATTAGTTTGCACGCAGAGATAAGGCTGGTACAGGAGCTCTTGGACATAAAATACGTACAACACAGAAACACCAAGTCTGAAATAGTGCACCTATCCACTTATGTGTGCCCATGTTGTTAGTACTGCAGAGCAGGCACGCTACTATTTTGGGTAATAGGCCATAGCTGTGTCCCAGGTAATAGAAAAGCAAACTATCTAGCCAAGCATGCGTGCACATCAACCCAATTCATTGGCACATCAGATTCTCACCGCCACTGGGAGCATACCTATTCAAACGCTTTGCGTACAGCCATATTTTTCTTAATAATTTAAGCTTTCTCAAACGTGTATGCTCGCAAATAATTATAACAAGCAGGTTTTTTACTTTTTAAGGTAGATGTATGTCACAGTTTAGGCACATGGCTTTGCATATTGCCTTACTGAGATTAATTGATTATGCATGTGACAATTAATAAATGATGACAAGTTTTTATTATAGTTTATTTATATGCCAAAAAGAAGATATAAAAGGACTGTCGGGCAGCCAGGGATTCTTTTCCCTAGAAAAAATAAATATCTTTTTTGATTTATACCCTTTTGTAACATGTATTTTTCCATTTTTTGCATTCACCCATTTTTCTTTTTGTTTAATACAACTTCAGCATAATACAATGGCAATTATTCTTATTTTTAAACAATTTTAATCAAGTATCAAATTTTATAAAGAATATATTGTCACAAAAAAGTTAAGCTACAATAAACAACTGAACAAGTATGCTCTAACCAATTTTCGAAACTACACATGTCTGCAAGTTGTGTGCCATCACAAGATTAACTGTCTAATTAAACACCCCTGTCTAAAGTGGAAAATACCCTTAATCCCAAATGTTTCATTGGCACTGACTCATGCATCAAACACGTGCAAGACTACTTAATGGTGGTTGCTCCCAACAGGCTATGGAGTCTGTCACTGGTGTTAGGTTTGGAGACAAGATAGGAAAGCCTTCTTCTGATAGAGCACCTTACCAGCCACTTCAGTTACAGTGAACGAGTGAAGCAGACATAATTAAGCATTGGTATGTATGATGAGGCAGCCAATGCCTCTAAATATATTAAAGAGAAGATGTATTAAACAATAAACAGGGGTATGAAAGCAGGCTGAAAACATGCATAGCATCATTTATAGCAAACAATATACAGCAACAAACCTTGGTTGTAGCAGCATCGAGTTCAGAAGCCAACTGTGGCATTTATCTCTCCCTGGACAATATCTGAGGCATTTGCATGCATAGTGATTGCATGACAACCTCAAATAAAGTTAGCAAACCCATGCCAAGGGTTGCTAACAAGTGTGGTAGCAATGACCAAATTCCCACCACTGATCAGCAAATTGGATACAACAAGCTGTCATCCAAAAATTAGTGGTGCAGTAAAACTGGGCTATTTGCTAAATGCAAACAGCAACTCAGTTGGCAGTCAAGTAGGTCTCTCAGTAGGCAGCTCGGCAGGTGGCTCTGTAAGCAACTCCACAGGAAGCTCCACGGGCGGCTCATTGGACAGTTTGAATATATGATCTGCCTCAGGTGGAATTTCACATTGAATCAAAACAATAAGCACTGTATGCCTGCGTTGGCCAGCAGCATCAAGTAACATTGGCAGGCATTTAATAATGCTGCTGGCTAGCAAACATCATTGTCCCAAAGTGCAGGGCAACAAGCAGTGGCCAGCAAGTGCACTCCTCAGAAAGAACAAGTGGCACTGAAAAGCAGCTTTTACAACAAATGGAAACAGCAGCCAGAGAGCATGCAGCTTAGAATAAACAAGTGGTGCCAAATAAACATGTTGTCTGACCACAAGCTGCAAGGCGGATGTGGCAGCAGAATCGATTTCATTGTGTGCAGTGGCTACACCAAGAGCACTGGGTTTAACAACAGCAAAAATACCACCAGGTATGGTGGTAGTTGGAATAGCCTTGGGAGCCCTGGCCAAACAATAAAGGTAAGTAAAAAGACAGCACCACAAACCCAACTACCAGAAAACCTGGCTCAATCAAATCCACCCAGGCAAAGTTTATGTTGCCGTAGGACGGCAGCTCAGTGCATGGCGTTGGTGCAGTTTCCGTTGGATACAAGAAATGTGAGTGTCAGCAGAGCACGCAAAATAAGAGGTGGCAAAAAGCATTTTTTGATTTTTGATTTCAATGACTTAAAAATAGGTGAGGAAAAAAGAGAGAATAACGGTTTCAAGCAACTGCTTGCTTGTATTTGTATGTCGCGTTTGTCGTGTTTATCTGCTTTTTTGGTCCTTCTTTTTTGGCAACAAATTTGACAGAATAGTTAATAAGCGACAATAAATAAGTATGCACTTTTGTCAAAATGGCCGCTGTTTGAAGAAAAGGCACTGCCCTATTTTTAAACTTGTTTTTTGCAGGTGTTTTTGTTTCTTTAGTTGTCATAAATTTTTTTCACTTATTCAACTTTTTTCTATATCTTTACGCTTTTTTAAAGGTTAATTTTACTGTCCAAACATAGTATGGAAGCTGTTGGTAAAAAACAGAAAAACAGCCGTGTGTACTTTATTAGGGTTAAAGTATTTTGTGACTGAAAAATAAGCCGGTGAGAGTATTAAACAAAAAAATATTTTTTGTGGTAGGGACAAAGAGTCAAAACCCTTTTTTTTGTGTACTTTATTTGCCCATTAAAGACAAGCTGCAACGGTGCAGGCGTTTTATTGTCACTCAGTGGCACTATTCAGCGTGTATACGCTGTAAAATGGCCTAAAAGTACATTAGCAGTCTAAAAACCTCAAAGTCTAAAACACTGGCTACATACAAACAAAACACCCACAGTGGCTAGTTAAAATAAACAAGCTAATTATTTAAGCACTGGAGCAGCTGGCTCGTTGCGTAAAACCCACGAATAAAGCAGCGATCAATCAGCGCATGAGCAAAAAAACCTTTTTCTTTTCTCTTCCGCATTTTTCATTTATTTATTACTTTAGTATTAAAATTATTATTAATTGACCAGCAACAATGCGCTTTTTGCTAGCACAACACTACTTTAAAATTGGAAAGTATGAGGCCGCATGTACCGCAAAAGTATAGAATCTGGAAACTGACCAGCCAAAAATAAAAACAAGTGCAAACCCAGCAAGAGGAGGGCTGAGAAGCATTGCCAAAAGGACAAGGAGGCAGACAAATATGTAGTAAAAGTAAATAAAACATATAGCACATTTCAGCAGCAATGAACTTTGCTCAGTGACATGGGGGTGTTCTGAGCAGCAAAAGCGAGACTAGTGCGCCAGGTGTGTTCAAGTTTTGTTTAAAAATACAAGGTAAAAACAAGCCAAGGCCGCACAAACAGCAAGATAAGCGTTGGATAAGACATTAAACAATGTTTTGTTTCAAAGCACGCAAATAATAATTTGGATGACCGTTATTAAGCCTGAATGGGGTCAATAAGTGAAATGCTCTGGAACATGCAACAAAACCAATGATAGCGGCTACCTTGTCCACAAAGGCCCACTAATCAGACGACAATAGGGTATTTCATGTCATGAAGCTTTAAAACTAGCAAAACGCACATGCAACAAAGGCAATTTAATGTATCCATGAAGGGACCTTAATGGCTAATAGACCAGTTAGGAATTGGGTATTACAGGGAAAGTCAACTACAACGCTGTAAAACTAGTTTCTAACAATATACTCAGTTTAATTCAAAGTCTGGAAAAAAGAAACCTCAACAGCCTGTGCAATTTGCCGACCTACAGTGCCTAAAATAAAAATGGATACATATGTGGTGCCCAACACACATTTCAAGCCACTATCTTCCTTTTTCAATAATCAAGATTGCCCTCATGGCCGCTATACATATTTCTGTTGTTGCTGGCTGACACCAAGGAGCACCATTATGTTTACAGCACTGCCCACACAGCACTGCCCCCTTTTCAGTTCCTAAAGTAACTTTTGATACTTAAATATATTAATTTAGCCCCACATTTTTATAGAGTACGACAACATATATAACATTTAAATAAATCAGAGTGGCACTAATTACAGCACCTCGCGGTGGTCCAGCACCTGGGAAGACCTGGGAGAAACATGAAAACCACAAGAGCACTGGAGATAAATACATACACTTGTTTTAAATGGGTGTTACAGTTCAGGAGCTATTGGGGCAAACATTTTAATAAGCATTCGCATAATTTGTGCATTACACACTCTCGGCTCTTGTTAGAAAAATAGTTTTATGACACTCGCATCTACTCCCTCCTCTTGGCTTAGAATGAATGGATATATTTACAGCCATTTATTTATTTATTTCTAATATGTATTCTTTACTTAATTGGTTTTATTTATTCTGTTTTATTTTGTTCTGCCCAACTTGGCTTTTATTGAAACAACCTTTTTAGACTTTACACACAATGTTACACAGCCAAATAACATGGATGTG